ATTACAAATAATTATAAATTAACTCCATTTTTAATTGATATTAGTATATTAACTCGTGTCATGTGCCAGTTGGACAAACATTTTTTAAATTTTAAAAAAAATAGTATTTTTTTTGTGACACATTAATATGATTCTCCCCTCATTGATTAGAAAATAATTCTTTCTTCCGTATTATTAAAAATAGGAAAGAAATACCCGACGTGGTCACTCAAAAAGAGAATGAAAAAAGTATTTACAACGGATTTAAAGAAAATAAAGAATTTTTTTGTATGATACGTACATGTTTTTTGTTAAACACATTGAGTCAAACTCGATGAATTTTAGATATCAATTAAATAAGAGCGGGCTGGGATGACCCCTTAGCTTTCTGACAAGTTTCTCTCTCTTTTTCCCTTTTGTGTTGTTCTTTTTAAATTCATATAAACGAATTACAAATTGTTTCTTTCTGTTCCTATTTCTTTTCAAATCCATTCAAATGAGTTAATAATCAACCTCTCCTCTTTTTAAATCCATATAAAGAATGGATTGTTAACTCATTGTAATTTGTTTCTATTTAAATTACCCGACGTGGTCACTCAAAAAGAGAATGAAAAAAGTATTTAAAACGGATTTAAAGAAAATAAAGAATTTTTTTGTAGGACCGTGCTACACACCCCTTACCCTTGCTACCAACCTTGTCTCCACCCACTTCACCACATATTTATCTCTACCTATTCTCTACCCACCCTCTAATTTTAATTTTCTTGCCTCCCTACCACATGTTTATGTAGGGAGGGCATGGTTGGTAGCAAGGGTGGGGGTTTTTAGTATTTTCCTTTTTTATATGATACATACATATTTTTTGTTAAAGACATTGAGTCAAACTCGATGAATTTTAGATATCAATTAAATAAGAGTGGTAATTTACACAATGAAGTACTTCGTAATTATATAACATTCCTAGCTAAAACATTGAAGTACTATACAGTACACAAGAATATTTTAGGAAGAAAGTTTAAGGAAGAGAAGGGCTAGAATGCATATAGTAATATTTGAAATGCTAATAGCCTAACATCACTACTTATTTTACTTTTTTTCCGTCCGGAAATAAACTTTACATTATACGTTTTCATACATAATCTTCCAAAACTACCCCTTCTTCTCCGTCCGGACGGAGGGAATAGTAGTTTTTATTTTTTAATTTACACCGTTTTTCATTCAATATAATTTTAAAATAAGTATAATCAAACATATAAAGTGAAACATTAATTGAGTATTATCGGAACCGGGACCAAATGATATGATTGCCACGTCTACCCTCAACTGCCATTGGTCCACAAGTTACTGTGACCACCACTACATGGCTTTGATTGATTTCTATTTGATTTTGTTAAACATTTTTAAAAACTAATTGTGTTCAAGATATTAAGGATTAAGCTTTTTTTTTCCTTTTTTTAGGCGGGGTGTGTCGGGCCAATCAATAGTGCAAAGCAGAGGCGACACATAGAAGCCCAAGACAGCAAGCTGTCTAGATGGCCTCTCCCTTAAAAAATTGAGTTAATATGGTGTGGGCCAATGACCCACATATCAGATATTAAACTGATAAGAACAGATACTACACTTGATCTTAGCCAAAAGGCCGAGAAAGGTATAAGATTAAGCTATTTGTACATTAAGAATTGTACATAAAGGCATGCTCTGACATTTTATGCTAGTGTGCTACTAGTGTGATGATTCATATTGATAAAAAATGTCAGTGCAATTTTTTTAATTGAACTAATATTTAGTGTCTGTGTAAACCGTTAAAATGTCTTTGTATTTCTTTGGAATACACATTTTGGTGAACCACTGACATAGTTGATATGAAATTGGAATTGAGAACTTCATTTCCAATTCTGGTGTTTGGTAACACAAAAAGTATGTAGATTTGGAATTGGTAATGCAAAAAATTAATTAGAATTGCTGAATTCGATTCTATGGAATTGAATTCCATAAAATTTCAATTTCAATTCTATCAATTCTATATACCAAACGAACCCTAAGGCCCCGTTTGGTACAAGGAATTCAAATTATGAAATTGGAATTGATGACTATAATTCCAATTCTGGTGGTTGGTAGCACAAATATTATGTGGATTTTGAATTGATAGTGCAAAAAATGAATTGAAGTTGGTGAATTCAATTCCACGGAATTGAATCTTATGGAATCTCAATTCCAATTCCACCAATTCCGTATACCAAACGGACCCTAAGAATAATATGGGACTTCTTCTCTTTTAGCTTATCAAACATTGCCTTATGCCTTTGGAAAGAATATTTCCAATTAGAATTAACGGAATGGTCAATTTTACTAATGGAACACCGGAATACTTTCGGATATTCTATGACATTAGAAATCAATATCATGAAAAGCAAGAGATACAATTAATATTTTGAATAAAATTTTAATAATGTAGACTGATTTTAAAAATATTATCACTAAATATTCTACCGAGTACTAAATATGGAGTACTCCGTATTCAATAACATTTTCAAAATAATAAACCAAACGGGGCGTTAGTAAATGGTAATTTGTTTCCCATTTCAAAACAAACATCCAAAAGGAAGCAGCTTGTATCAGAAGGACTCCCATTTCTGGTATTTACACTTCCTGCAAATGAAGGAATCCCTTCTTCTTTGTCATATCATTCCATCCCTATCCGGTGCAGCTGCTACTCATCCTAACCCTAAGGAGTCTCGCCGGAAACTTCGTAGATCAGAAGGTTTTCTCTTTAACCCCAGCTCTTCTATATTCTCGGAAGCGTTTTCGTTTTTCTCGCGGTGAGCTTCTTAATTTTGGTGTTTAACTTTTTGTTTTGAGTTGAGACCTGTGAATCCTTCTGTTTTCTTCTCGATTCTACTGCGGTCTATGTTTTTTATGTTTTGATTTTGCTTGCGAGGCCTCTGCTCGTTTGTTGAAATTGTGTTTCCGTGAACCAGGTGTTGTTTTTGTTGTAATTTCTCTGGCAGTGATCTGTTATACCTCGAGTTTCCGTTGAATAACTTCTTCTCGGCCACGTTTTTGTGGATTTTATGCAATATAAACTGTCAAATTAGCGTAGCTTGAGCGTCTCAGTTGGTATAATGATCGTTGAGAGGTTTATTACTCGGTAACNTTTTGGTGTTTAACTTTTTGTTTTGAGTTGAGACCTGTGAATCCTTCTGTTTTCTTCTCGATTCTACTGCGGTCTATGTTTTTTATGTTTTGATTTTGCTTGCGAGGCCTCTGCTCGTTTGTTGAAATTGTGTTTCCGTGAACCAGGTGTTGTTTTTGTTGTAATTTCTCTGGCAGTGATCTGTTATACCTCGAGTTTCCGTTGAATAACTTCTTCTCGGCCACGTTTTTGTGGATTTTATGCAATATAAACTGTCAAATTAGCGTAGCTTGAGCGTCTCAGTTGGTATAATGATCGTTGAGAGGTTTATTACTCGGTAACATATTGTATGAATCTAACATGGAACTAACAGTTTGGGTGCACTCTTTGTGCTAAATCTGTGAACCAAAATTACAAAGTGATGAAAGTTTATAGTGGTGTTTTTGTAGATTTGAAGGATGGGTCAAACATTTGGGTGCCTGCAAGTAGATCAGTCAAATGCGGTTGTGAAGGAGCACTTTGGAAGATATGATTCAGTGATGGAGCCTGGGTGTCATTGTGTTCCTTGGTGTTTCGGCTACAGGGCTGCCGGCACCCTCTCTCTGCGTGTCCAACCGATTGATGTTCGTTGTGAAACAAAAACAAAGGTACTCATTAGTTTCCTCTTTATGTTGAAAAATGATGGGTTTTATTTTCTCTGAGTAGAGAATTACAATTCCAAAAGCTACTAGCAAATAGTACCGCCTCCATCCCAAAATACCAAAATACCACCTCTTATAAATTTATCAATCCTACTTATACTTTTGAATTTGTAGGCACAACTTGTTAGGTTGTGGAACCTGATGTAATATTTGATGTATTGTTAAATATTTCTTGTTTATGTGATTCAACCGTTGTGGCGTTTACCCACGGGGTGTTTGTGTGCGTACTTTTTGGAATGTTATAAATACTCCCTATCATTTAGTTATTATTCTGTAATATTGAATCTGTTCCATTGTGTGATGCTAGAAGAACATCTTAGACATTTTTGTCGGAAAGTAGATGGTATTTTATTTTGAATTCCAGAAGGTGGGTAACCTTTGATGGGTGATCGGGCTTACTATATTCTCCCTCCGTCCCAAAAAAGAAATTTAACGTTTGACTTCACGAAGTTTAAGAAAGTTGTTGAAAAATGTAGTTGAAGGGAAATGAAAGAAGTGTGGAGTAAATTTTATGACGAATGGAAAAAGAAAGTGCAAAATTTATTTTAGGACAGAGTATTTCATTTTACTGTTTACACGGAGTGATATATATTCATGATTCAGGATGTGTTGGTCTTTACTTCTACAGGACAATGTCTTTGTGACTGTGGTGGCATCAATTCAGTATCGAGTTTTGGCTGAGAAAGCTTCTGATGCTTTTTATAAGCTTTCAGACACAAAATCACAGATCCAGTCATACGTCTTTGATGGTAGGAGCTCTCAATCTTCATTGTTAACTTTCACCTTCTAATTTCATGGCTATGTAATGTTTGCTTGCTTGTTGGGATTATACTCCAGTTACTATTCTAAGAACTCCATCCCAAAAAATTAATGCTTGACCAAAGTATAAGTTTTTAGGTTTGGTGAGGTACATTTATGATTTATCATAAATAATTATTCATACCTATTCTTTTTTTTATTTTTTCTTTGATGTTAACTAATTTAATCATGTGTAACTTATCTATATTTTTGCCTATTTTCCCTCCGCAAAGTACGTGAAAATTAGTTTCATTCGATGAAAATGGGCTGTTTTGTGGGTGTAAAAAAGGTATTTGAAACAACACTCTTTTCTTGGGATGGATGTAGTCGGAGTATTATTTTTTTGTTAGGAAGTATACACAAGATGTTTGTGTCTATATAGTTTTGCATAAGATTTTTAGCATATGGGCATAGCAGTTATAAGTTATAACTAATGCCTGCTGTTGGTGGGGCAGTGATAAGGGCCAGTGTTCCGAGGTTGACCTTGGATGCTGCATTTGAACAGAAGAATGATATAGCCAAAGCAGTTGAGGAAGAGCTGGAGAAGGTGATGATATCGACTACTAAGAAATCATACTTTGATTTTGATACATTGATCTACACCATTATATTTAGAGTTTTTTTTTCTCTTTTTGGTGCACTTTGCAGGCTATGTCTGCATATGGCCTTGAGATTGTCCAGACCCTCATTGTGGACATAGAGCCTGATACTCATGTGAAGAGGGCTATGAATGAGATAAATGCTGGTAAGCTTTCTCTATATATCTCTCTCTGTACGCTTGGCCAAATGCATATTTCATTAGCAACGGTTCGCATAACAACCTTTTGCATGCCTGCAAAGAAAAATTTCATTCTTGGTTCCTGACATTTCATTTCTTTTACTTTTGGTGTAGATTATGAGTTTCTTGCCACTTTTATTCTTTCCAACCTAAGGCAGCATAAAATTCATGGCCATGCACCATAAGTTAAAATGATCAGATAATGATAGCCGTGCACCTAACTCAGTTTTTTTCTGCGGCGCATGTTGAATTTCATAATACTTGAGTGTCTAGACGAATGCCTTTCATATGATACTTTTCTCCTGAGTCTTGAATCTCTCTGGTCAGGCATTATTCTGCAGCATAAGTAGGCTGTTGGGCAAACGCTTTTCATTTTTAAAATAAGTAAATAAATAAAATAACTCCTACCAAATGGGAGCTCTGTATCTTTTTTTTACTCGAATTTGATTATGTAGTATAATTAATTCTATGTGCCCGTGATAAACAAACAGCTGCAAGGCTCAGGGTTGCCGCAAATGAAAAGGCTGAAGCTGAGAAGATACTTCAGATCAAGAAAGCAGAAGGGGAAGCTGAGTCAAAATACTTGTCTGGGCTGGGCATTGCCCGCCAGCGCCAAGCTATCGTGGACGGGCTAAGGGACAGTGTCCTTGCTTTCTCAGAGAATGTTCCTGGGACAACGGCGAAAGACATCATGGACATGGTCCTGGTGACACAGTATTTTGACACAATGAAGGAGATCGGATCATCCTCAAAGTCATCTGCGGTCTTCATTCCCCACGGTCCAGGTGCTGTGAAAGACATCGCATCCCAGATCCGCGAGGGTCTTCTTCAGGCCAGTAGTGTTGAACATGCCTGAAGTCTGGTGAACAGCACCTTCATATGAAGATATGTTCAAAGGTTGTGTATATGCTGACTTCTACTAGTATCTGTCATTACTCTGCATCTATATTTTACTTCCTCTTCGTCGACGTTTAGGCGACTGAAGTTTCGTTGTGTTTGTTTTAACATAGTACCTTAAGAAGAAAGGGGATTTATCAAAGGCTTAAAGCTTATCCGTTATGTTCGGTTATTTATGCGTTTTCAATAGCTTTTTATTTCAGCATGCTCTAGCAGATAGGTTTTTGAAAGTACAGAGTAACTATATTCTTTGAAAACACTCCATGGAAGCATTCACGTTGGAGATGGTCTAATAGTATCTTCAACTTGTTTTTTTGGGAACATTATCTTCAACCGTTTCACCGAAATTATTTTTAAATTATTTTAAATGAAAATGGTGTTGAATTATAAAATAAAAATTACATGTTTATAACTACATCAAAAGATATACAAGACTAGTAGTGACATAATTATACTATTTTATCAAATGACTAACGAAGACACAACCATATCGCCTATTATGTTGTTGAGAAACTTTGATCACTCACTCGATTTATGTAATGATAGACAGCTGATAGCAACTCTATTAGGTAATCACTCAACACAAAGAAAAATATTACTCCCTCCGTCCCGCACAAATACCAAGGAGGGAGATTTAAAGGATTAAAATGTCTCATATACCCTTGGATGAAGAAAAAAGTGGGTGGAATTTTTGTGGTGCCGTGTACTCCATAGAAAAAGTTGACATATCCCATAGAGTAGCCCAAACAATCTTTTTGCTTTTTGCAATCATTACAATCATCACCAATAATTAAAAAAAATATTTACAATAAAGTGAAGGAATTGGCGGTAAAGCTTCTAAAAGATGAAATTTTTCCCTCCTTCTATCTTGTGTGTCAGCATATCCTCCTCTCTCCTTTCCACATTTATTCCGTGTATCCTTTTTCTTCTTTCTTCAAGAAGGCAGGCTTCTTTCTTCATCTTTGTCTCTTGCCTTCAATATGCCTCCCAACTTACCAATAACCTCTGTTTCAGAAAATGAAAATGAGAGAGAAACACATAATCAAAGGGAGAAAGCCACACACAAACTCACAGATGACACACCCGAGCACACATCATCCAAATCATGCTACAACAATTGAAGAAGGGAAAACCTAAAAGAGGTGTCATGAAAGAACTTGCTGAGCAATTTCACATAAGTTCAAAAACTGTGCAAAGATTGTGGGCACAAGCTAAAGAACAAATCAATGAAGGAAATAGAATCAGTGTCATGGGCAGGATGAAAGGGAAGTCAAATGGAAGAGAGGGTATGACTCTTACGGTTGAGCAGGTCTCAGCTGTGTCCCCCACCAAGAGACGAACCATTCGAGCACTAGCAAAGGCAGTCTGTGTGTCAAAAAGTACCATTCACAGGATGATAAGGTGTGGGAAAATCAAGGCTCATACTAACCCGATCAAACCTTATTTGACAGAAGATAACAAGGTACGAAGGTTAGAGTTTTGCTTAAGTAAACTGCATGTAGGAAGTATGGAAACAGCTCCACAGTTTCAAGATATGTATGAGTATGTGCATGTAGATGAAAAGTGGTTTTACATGACTCAGACTTCACAGAGAGTGTATTTGCATGCAAATGAGGAAAACGGAATGCATAGAACAGTTAAATCTAAGAAATTTATCACAAAGATAATGTTCTTAGCTGCAAGTGGACTCAGGAACATCAAAGTTCTCATCATTGTTGCCATCTTCAGAGTCTGGAACAATAACATCGAACTCCCCATCATCGGATCCCTCTTCAGAGTCCGGAATAGCTCCACCATCAACACCCAAATCTGCAGATAGGCTGACATGGGACTCAAATTCATCAAAATCCTCATCATCGTCCATCTTCAGAATCCGGACCAATAGTTCCACCATCAACAACCAAATCTGCAGATTTTAGGCCATCCAACTCAAGAACATCGTTGCCCAGATCTCCGTCTTCCTTTTGATTGTCCCCGTCATGTTTTTCGAGGCCAGAGACAAGGGAATTTCCATACCCCTCCTGTTTGTCGAATCCCATCCCAGATCTAGAAGATCAGTGATAAGAACTGAGAGGTTAGGCTAGGTGAAGAAGATGAAGAGACAACGAACAATTGCAAGAGATGAGGCCCAACGAAAAAGAAAAGTCTAGAAATTAGTTGGGGGAGTGTAAATAATGTGGGTGGGATAGGATGATGCATTGGTAAGGTGGGTGGGGTAATGAATGAAATTTTGTGATAAGGGTAAAATTGGAAAATTTATTTTTTTTGTTTACCAAAAATAGAAACTGGACAAATATGGTGGGACGGCCTAAAAAGGAATACTGGACAAATATAGCGGGACGGAGGGAGTATTTGAAAGACACATGAGTGAGGGTCAATCTCCAAAACATATTATATTACTGTTACGAAAACTGGTATTTAGTCATAGGCAACTGTACGTTGAATTTTCAAGAGTAAAAAAATCCTAATGACTAGAAGAATTTGATGTACAACAAAGAGAACATTTCCACGAATTGTGCGACTAATATAGTTAATAAAGAAGTTTTTCAAAATTTGTAGATCATTTAACTTTTGCACTTTAAAATTATGGAAACTCGATATTCCATCATATACCAATTTGTATCTTTTAAAAAATATCTTAAAATAATTTAGTAACGTAAATATGATCAGTGCAATGCATGGGTCAGATATTATTTTCTAGTTATATTTTATAAACTGATAAAAGAGTGATTTTAATTACTAAATTATCCTCTTTATCTAGGTGATGCACATACCTTATTCCATTTAACAAAGCTATAGCTATTTAAAATTTATATACATTGAGAAAAAATTCATTCTACATGACAAGCGACGAAATAAATTAATTAAATAACGAAGTAAAGTTATCAAGATGCGTCTTAAATAAACTTATATAAGGATAGAGAATATAATTATTAATCATAGTTAAGTAAAATTAATCGTATGATGTAAGAAATGAAATACTTCGGACTTACTGAACTGATCGTCGCCCTGCCCTCCCAAGACTTTCCGGTTGTGAAGAACACTGGCTAGACAAAACAGATAGTCGTCCGTGTTCAAGAGGTCATTACTGTCAGGGTTCAAGAGGTCCTCTCTGTTTCAAATGTTTATCAAACTTCTTGGCAATGGCGGCCTCCGATGACATATCCCATAACTGCATTTTTTTTATCATGAAGAAAGATGATTAAATTACGGGTTTATGGAATATTGGGAGGATTCCGTTGCAAAAGCTGACGAAAAACGACTAGCTGACATCCTTACACGTAATTTTCCCTGGGAACCTCCTATGGCTAGCAAAGATGGATGGTCGGCAGAAAAGGAAACAGAAAGGATGGCTCCATGTCCCTGATAACAAGTTCAGAACAAAATCTCAGCAAAAACGAATAACCTGCGTTTTTTACCTAAAAACTGAAAACCATTTGCATCCTGGTATCTTCACGGTTTTGTAAATACTACTTAAGAATGACATATACATACTGCACTTTGGTCCCTTGAAGCAATATATGAAGGTTGGTTGTTGGAAAGATCCCAGACTTTCACCTGCAGCAGAAGCGAGACAAAACTTGGATGAACTTCCCCTGCATTAGAGTCTAGCTACCAAATACTAACAATTAAAAAGAAACAGCAAAGTAGGATAATATACCGTTTCATCCATTGAACCGGTTGCAAGAAGCTGTAAATATGATCGCAAATATGTCAGTGTAACAGCATTCATGCATCAAAACATATTACTTTAATCTGGGGGAGGCCCACACATACATTGGGCACTGCTTGATTGTACGAGATGGAGCTAACTGGTTTGTCATGTGCATGCAGAGTGAAACTTGGTTTTTGGTCAACAGATGCATCAGAGCTAACTGTTCGAACATCAAAGCAAACTACTGTACCATTCTTGAGACTGGCCTGTAAATTGGGGGAAGCAAAAAGGCAATAAGTCCAGTTATAGTCATCAATCAATTATGTATCAGATGACATTTCACTTGTTTATAAAACATGTCAACCAAATACATACATACTCACTCCGTCCCGCAATAATGTTACACATTTCTTCTTCTTCTTTGTTCGTCCCCCAAAAGAAGGTTTCCACTTTTCATTGTTGGGAAAGTTTTTGTGGCTATTATTATTGTTGTTGTTGTTGTTGTTGTTATTATTATTATTATTATTCCTCTCTCCTCTACACCACTTTCAACCACACAATTTCACTTTTCGTAGTCTCTGTGCCCAGTCATTTGTGGAACATTATTGTCGGATGGAGTAAGTATGAGATAAAAGTGTACACAACAACAACAACAACAATGCCTTATCCCACTAGGTAGATAAAAGTGTACCAAAAAAACTGATGATATTCGAAAACATACCGCAAATGAGTGCTCATTGTGCGGATCCCAAGCCAAGCTTTCCACATCAGCAGGAACTGACCAGTATAATCCACTATGAGACGGGTTCCTTCCATCCATCTGCCATCAATCAGAAAATTTGAATTGCAATGTTTTGTACTTCTAGGGAACCAAATGGATGGCATACTTTTAATAACAAAACAAAAGAGATGTGTACATACTAGGACCACTGAATGATCAAACGATCCACTTATAAGAACTTGGGGCTCAGCAGGATTCCAGGCAACAGCCTGAACCTGCAAAGACATAGGAAACCACACCCTAAGAATCACACAAGCCCCACATCGCCTTCACACATTGTATTTCAAAAAACTAGCAAAGAATTTCAAAAAATATGAAATCCTCACAAGCTGCATGATGATCCATGGTGATACTGCATGTACCAGTTGAAACGTCCCAGATCTTGACTAATCCGTTAGCACTTGCACTGGCAAGCACATTCCTGGAATGTTTATTTATACAAAACAGAATTAGTTCATCTTCTAGTAATATCTTGCTGAACAATCAAACCAACATATTGACTTCAAATACCTGTATTCCTTATTCCAGGCCAGCCCTAGTACTGCATCAGGGTGCCTTCCATCCTTTTATTTGATCGATAAACAACACACAGACAAACAGAGCAAAATAATGATTTAAAAACTTAAAAAAACTGTTCTGAACAGAGCAATGTACACCAAAGCAATGTGCATATAAGCCATCAGAAGTTGAATCACAACGCAAGGAAACCAATTTGCCATCACTAATACATCATGACTGAATTCAAGGAAAAATTAATTCAACATGAACAATGGTAAAATAATTAAGTCCCCAAAAATTTTCTTAGGATTCGTCTTTTCCTTCGTACTTTGGTTCACTTCTTCAGGACTGTTTTGCTTTTGTTTCTTCTTTTGAACATCTGTCGTTTCATTTTATTCGTCGTAACTTTAACAGTGTTGCTCACTCTCCAGCTAGAAGAGGAGGGGATCAGTGCGGTGTTTGGGAGGGTTGTCCCCTTTTTTCCTGGTCTGGATAAGTTTTCAATTTCATGGTATGAATTGTACATTTGGTACTTTTTAACAAAATCAGGGCCCCTTAATAAGATTAAAAAAGTAATGAAACAATAATATGCAAACCTTCTTTGGTTTTCTTTTCTTCTTTTCATTGCCACCAAGTATAGTGGATGGTTGCACCTCATCCATCTGAATCAAAAGATGAACGGCATATCATTATCAGAACATCTCCATAGAGTTACTTCATGCATAATCATTCTAGTGTCTGTGTTTCTACTTATTGTAATAACCACAATACACATACAATATCAAGATCCCATATCTCAATGGTTGGTTCCTGCATAGAGCCAACAGCAATGAAGTTACCTGCAAGCATGTATAAACAAATTAGGAGGAGATAAAACCTCAAAACTGCTTAAATGCACAGCTAATGATGTTCTTCTAACAGTCAGAATACTGAATTGTCATAAAAAGCCAACAAATATGTTCGGAAATTGTATGGGTGAACTCGCAATGCAAGGAATAAATAACCATAAATTGGGTGGTTGCCGATATAAGACAGAAAGTACATAAGCAGCCTACCTCCCATGCAGTGCACAAAGGAAGAGATGGGATAATGATGTAATGGTGAGGATACATGTTAAACTTGCCATCCACGACCTCCAGTATCCAGACCTGCTTTGTAAGATTAGTTTCAATATTTTTGTGGGCTAATTCATAAGAGAGACTTCAAACACACACACACACACACACAAAGAAAATCAAAATAAATTTAAAAAAACAAAGAAAAGAGGTTAGAGGCTTCAAGCATCCACATAATAAATTGACCAAGTAACAATACGTGCCTCCAACGAATTAACACCTTTCTTATTTTGGGCACATACTATGACAGTATCATCAGGCTTTATGATCAAAGCCTCCTGCTCTTCTGAATCCTCCTGCTCTTCAAAGTTGCAACAATTTAGAATACTATGAGATGGTTAAGATCCAAGTAGCCAAGAAAAGAAATTTACAAAAAAAATAAAGGAAAAAGAAAAAAAGAAGCCAAAGAACAAGAATGTGCAAGCCTGTTGCAGATGTATAGAAAAATAATAAGTATGCAGTTAGAAAGCCTACATCATCATCTTTCAAATATGAGTCCATGTCGTTACTTGGATAATACAAGTTCTCGATACCCGATCCAAAGAGTTCAATACCTAGATTCTCAGGAGAAAGAATAAAGAGAGAAAATAAAAGAAGAATATTTGCAGTGCAAAGTCTGATTAAGGTCTCCAAACACGATATTGCCATTTAGAAAATATTATCAAGATTATCGGGGAATCAAAAACCATCATCTTCGTCATCATAATTATCCATGTCCAGTTCTTTTAGTGCATCTGCTATGCCGTCAAATTCAGCTTTTGTGTCCTTCAATGTCATGCCAAGTGCATCAGCAGCTGCTAACACATGGGCAACTTCATCCTCTTCTTCAGATGCATCACTTCCCATATCCCCATCGTCTTCATCGACATCTCTCCATTGACTGCAAACCAAAGAAACCATTTAAGATTCACGATGTGGGAAAGCGAGAACCTCTAGGGTAACTCATCATGGAGGTCAAATTACAATCTACATTATTACTCCTCAGTCCTCACATTGAAAAAACTTCTCCCATGTCTCAATAGTTACTTCAACAAACCAGAAATTGGATAAATTGAAAGGCTGTTTCCAACTTTCTTTTGATAACTTAAAGGGCAATAGTTGAGCTCTGAACCAAAAATATATAAATTTCCAAATGCCGAAAATCACAAGTGAGATCACGTATCAACTCCTAAGGGGGTTAGAGGCGAGCAGAATTCCTTTCATGACATCCTAACCCAAATAGCACATTTAAATTTCTATGCAAAAATATAGGGTAGTTTGGATTTCATCATTGCTGCTCAATTTAACTAGGCATCCGAATGTCAAGGGGTTGAACAAAGGATCAGCTGCCTCTGGAACAGCCTTTGATGCACCTTTGGGAATCCAAGAAATAGCCAAAATCATCCTTTAATTGGCAGGCTTTTACTGTCTCCTATTGTTTTCTAGCAAGAAGGAAAAAGATAAATAAAGAAATAAGCCATGTTCGTAACATGATCAATAAACTCAACCCATCCAAGTAAGCTAATACATCAAGCATAACAAGTTGAATGACAGTGTGCTCAAAGATATGCACTATAGTTTATCAACTCTACGATTTTTCACAACGCTGAGAATTAGTATTTGATACATACTCGCTCCAAAGAGCTCAGGTTTTAATTTTCAAACATCATATATTGACAAATGAATAAACCTTGTTGAGTTTTTAATTATATCTACACTAGTCTCTTCTAAGAGCATAGATTCAAGCTCAAACAATTATCATTTGATTATAAATCCATAACTACGGGCACAAATGACAAAATCAATCAAAGCTTACCATTCCAAGCAAGAGAAGAATTAACAGATGGAAAATAGTACATCAACATATAAACTAGATTGGAGGCGTGACTTGTATTGGCAAATTGTACTAGATTGGAGGCATGACTTGTATTGGCAAATCCTGGTAACTTTCCCTTCAAAGGGTTTGGGGTGTAGGACATTGGCATTGGGTGATAATAAAACAGAAGGATACACTCATGGGCCCTGGGTGTGCCTTTGGTAAAACCGAACCAAACCAAAAGTCCGTAAACCGAAATTTTGGTAAAGCACTTTTGTACTAAATACCGAACCGTATCCAATCGACTTGGTTTGGTAAAAACCAAAAGAAAACAGGTTTGGTAATTGGTTTTACCAAATACCAAACATAAAATAAAAAGTTGGAATAATAAGTCCATTTTGTTTGCCAAATTCATAGTAAAAGAAACAAGATTTCATCCATTACATTAGAAAGTAGAACATTGTTAAGTTGCCCATTTCAAAAAGTAAGAAAACATCCTTAAGAAGCATAGCATTTAAAACAACAGTCTTTCAGAAAAAATAGCACATCATTGAGCATCCTTCAACATCCTATTAAAAAGAGCACAAAATATCAAAGTACCCAACATCGTTTTGTCAAAAGAAAAGCAACATGATCCATCATCCTTCAGTAAAAAAACAACTTTTTAGATAAGCTTAATTCTTACACGATATAAACATACACTGTCTAGTCATAATCCAAGAATTTTAATTCAGCTCCAAAAAGTTGGGGAAAAAACTATCAGAGGTAGAGGCTGGAATAGAATCAATAATAGGAAAATTTGATACGCTTCAAAATATGAAACTTTAATACTCCCTACACTTTAAAAAAAATTAAAATTTTTAATATACTTCAAAACAACAACAACAACCCAGTTAAATCCCACAAGAGTATGGTCTAGGGAGGGTGTGCGTACGCAGACCTTACCCCTACTCGAAAGTAGAGAAGCTGTTTCCAAAGAGACCCCCGGCTCAACGTCGAAAGTTGCATTGCTTGACTAACTGCTACTTCATTAATTAAAGAAGCGCAGACAGTTTAGAGATCCATTTTGATTTATTCCATCACACCCCAAAGCCAAAAATGTTTTAATATACTTCAAAACAAAAACAAATAAATAAATTATATACTTCAAACTTTTTATTATCTTCCTCGGACATACCTTAATCAATTGAAAGATATTAACAAATAAGCAAAAAAAATATGAAAAGAGAAGGCATCAATTCAATAAGGCTAAAATCCATCATTGGTTCTTCAACTTTATGAGTTGTGCACGATTGATCCTTCAAGTTTCAAAATTCCATGAATAGTCCTTCAACTTTATGAATTGTACACGATTGGTCATTCAAGTTTCAAAATTCAATAAGCAGTCCTTCAAGTCCACGTCAACCTTCCAGATGAGATCATTTTGACATTAAATATTAAAAGCTACATAGAATACTAGTTTCATATAATACGAGTATATTCCACTGGGTACGACTACTTCGTATTATATGGAGCTAGTACTACATTTAGCTTTTAACGTTTACCGTCAAAAAAAGGACTTCATCTGGAGCCGACGTGTACTTGAAAGACTATTTATGGACTTTTGAAACTTGTAGGACCAATCGTGCATAACTCATAAGTTAAAGAGTTGAAGGACTATTTATGAATTTTTAGAACTTGAAGAACCAATCATGCACATCTCATAAGTTGAAGGAGCAATAGTTGAGTTTAGCCATTCAATAAATATGAAAAATTTAATATACATCGAGCTGGAACATATATACATTCAAACAATGAAGAATTCGGGAAAAACAAATTTACATTTTGACTGTTGAAGGAGCGCTGGAGGTGCGTGGATTAAAGCTGAGGCGAGGTGCCAGTTGAGAGAGACGAATCAGGAAGCTGCGTAGCCAAAGCCCAAAGGGGCTGATGAACTAGGGAGGTCGCGGGATAATTGATTCATCGGTTGTAGGGCCAATTGGTCTAATGGAATTGGACTAGTAGCTTACTCAGCCATAGCCCAAAGGGGCTGATGAACTAGGGATGTCGCGGGATAATTGATTCATCGGTTGTAGGGCCAATTGGTCTAATGGAATTGGACTAGTAGCTTACTCAGCCATAGCCCAAAGGGGCTGATGAACTAGGGATGTCGCGAGATAATTGATTCATCGGCTGTAGGGCCAATTAGTTAAGTTATTTAGAGAATGATTAGCTTATAAATAAAGTAATTTCTACAAAAATTGAAAGCAAAAGCACCTTATACCTGCTTCTTCGAAACGGTGTTCCATGTACAAAATAATGTTGGTGAAAAGCAGAAGTTGACATGCCAAACAGATTAAAATCACTTCCACTCAAAGCAGAAGCTAAATTGTTAAAAGCATCGCACTACCAAACACCCTCTAAATAACTTAACTCCAATTCCATTACACTTTTTTTTCTTCAAAACAAAAGTCTAATGAAATTGGAGTTAAGTTATTTAAAGTGGGTTGAGTAAGTTATTTAGGGCGGAACATATTTTTCTATTAAAACTAAAAATATAAACTTTATTTATTTCTCATAAATAAACCATCATGGTATATTATAATAAAAATTGTGTACATAAAATAAATTATATTCCGTATCATTTTAAAAAAAGGGAAAGTGCGAGTAATTATTAAAGTAATGTGAGAAAAAATAAAAAGGAAAGTAATGTAGTGTAGAGCTGGAAAAACAGTCGGGTTGGGAGCTACATGTTCATGACTCAATGTCATCGGGTTCGAGTCGACCCAATGGTCATGACTTTCATCTATTTTTTAAAATTTTAAGTGAATTATATGACCAATTGTCAATATTACGAATAAAAAAAATGAAATATGCAGAAAATTTTGAAAAAATAAGATAATTATGCGATATCATTAAAATTTTGTATGAAAATATAAATGTATACATTAAGAACGAGTAGTAAGCAAAGAAATATAATTAAAATCTTATTTTTATAACACTATATTACATATTAAAGCATATGATTTTGAAATTCTTACATTAGCAGGTCGGTCAGGTTTGACCCATTTTTAACGAGTAATTTCAGGTTCGGCCAGCAAAATCTTTGTTCAAAATACAGTATTTTCGGGTTGAGTCTCAGGTCAAAAACAGGACAAGTTATTTTTGTCAGGTCTAATGTAGTGGAATGGAAAAAAAACCAGAGAAGAGAAAAAGAAAGGAGAATATATAAAGATGCTCCAAGAGCACGGAAAATATTGAAGCCCTTAATGCGATTATCACTACAAAGAACTTCTCCTTGATACGATCCAACATTGCATCTTTCGTTTGCTCAGAACCTTTAAAAAAATAATTGAAGGAAATTTTTTTAACACAAGTAAATAAGAAATAACATATATACAATATATACATTAAAAAACAAATAAAGTTTACCAACGATAGGATGCTCAGAGACGTCAGCCCAAGCGAAGGCCAACAACGATTCTTCCTCTGGGGTCTACTTTTGAAATGGACCATGCCGTCTCGGTCATCGGCATGTCGCCCTTCAGTTTGTGACTCTTCCAACGTGCACTTTTTTGGTGCACTTGATTCCGAGCGAGTCTCTGGAACTGACTCCAGGTCTTGGAGATTCACTGAGGTTTGTGTATCATACATCGATGCATTACCGGCATATGATTGGAAAATTCACATCGCTTCTTCCTATGGCTCAAGACTTGACGAAGGAACGTTAAAACCGAAGGAGTTCATGTTAAAATAAAAAAACAAATACTTGAATAATTTTTTTAAAAAAGAGGAGAGAGAGATTTGTATTTGTGGTATGTATTAAATTTTTAAAAAAATATTTTGAGGTCACCATGATGCATTTTACACTTGTCATAGTGCATTTTCAGCATTGGCAGAAAAGTTTGATTTGTTTACACAATTACCATAACAATTTTTTCAGATTTTTTATTTTTAGTAGCACTTAGATCTTAAATCTAATGAATCGTATGCATTCTCATTTTTTTCATTGTGCATCATTCTCATTTGAACCAAATTCTATACTCACACACTGGCATACACACAAAAAACAAATTAGGGTCCCCTACAAAAAGAGACCCTGGCCGGGTGACCACCATCGATCAAACGTGACTATAGTTACATAAAATTGATATTAATTGATATTAAGTACTGATACCAAATTAATCTTATTAGATTTATTTTTAAAAAAATTCTAAAAATATTGTTTTATCTAATCAATGTAGTTTATAAATTTTATTTAATTATATGTCAAAAGTTGAAAATGATTGACTGAAAAAAAAAACAATAGAAATCACGACTGGAATTATCACTATAAAAAAAGCTCTAAAGTTGAAGGATAGAGGGTGTAAAATTACAATATATTCCGTAACCACTTAAAACATACTCCGTAGAAGATAGGACACTCGAACAAGAATATAAGAACCAAAAACCTGAAGGCATAGCAGCAGAACAATGTTGATAGTCAAGCCACAATTATTGCTTTGTGATGCAACACCTAAAGAGTATATTGCCGCCAGCCAAATCAAATCAACCATAAAAAGAGAAACAGTCCCTTTGAGGATGTAACTGTAAATTGTTAATCATCCCTAAGTAGCTTATAGCTAACCATTCCAGAAAACACTAATATTATGGCTTGAGAGTCAAAGCCAACCCAAACTTGGGGCTCTTGTCAAAAGACTTTGTGTCCACTTCACCTGACACAGTGAAAAGGGACTTGGGGCGCCATTCACGCTGGATAAGGGCACTCGCCTTGCCAGCGTTATTCACCCTTGCCTTCACTGTCGTCAGCGGATCCAGTTGGTGTTGTGTACCGATGGTGAGGGTATTCTCGCCTTTTGAGAACCTATGCTTCACCTCGGCCCCAATAGAGGTATGTGTCAATGGTTTCACGTTGTGATAGTACGAGGCACTCAGCATGTCACCCTTCTCACTCCTGCCAATTATATTTCATTCAGATCCAATCGGTCCATCATGGATATGATAAACCATCACTTTAAACTACATCCATTTAGCAATTGTTTCTCATGTGTATTGATCAATTTATGGAATGATACTTCACCAGCAGTTTAAACAACTTGACAGAAATGGACCATTGATAGGTTTAGAAATTTTGGAGAGTATGGCGGACTTAAGGGTCTTTTTTCTTTAAGAAATAGTGGGTGGATAAGTAGTTACTAAGCAGGTGTACAATTGCATGTGGATGGTGGACAAATGGATTCTCTTGTTACTCCTAACTGATATGGAAGAAACCACTTACAGGCTCAAGGAGGCAACGAGGTCAGAACTTGTGACGCTCAATCCAGCATCATATTTGGTAAAAGCTCCAGCCTTTGTGTCAAAAGCCACATCAGTGCCAAGAGCTACATCATTAGTTCCCACGACCCCAGAGAAGTTGATAACTGGGCTGGCTGTCAAAGCAACACTGGTGTTTATTCCGACATACTTGTGTAAATATTGAACTTCAATCTGTATGTCCAAGACAAAAGGGGAATAAACACTTTCAAAACTTCAAGCAGACATTATACTCTGTAGTCTGTAGTTGAGAACTAAAGATTTCCAGAGATTAATGAGTTTCCATAGAAGAGCTAATTACCTTTTCTGATCTTTGATCAGGAACTCTGAAGCTAAAAATTGTCTTCAATCCAGGAGCAAGTTGATCACCAGTAATAGTTGTGTAAAGCTGGAATTTAATGCACCAAATTATTAGAAGTTTGTACACACACACACACGATTTAAACTTAACGACATTAGTAAGTAGTTCTGTTACAGATTTACATTTAACATTTTGATTGAGTTTATATAAAACCTTATATGCAGGTTGCTTAATACCAACGTGAAAAGGGTGGCCATTACTGATCAGTTACTAGGGATGGTTTACCTAGCTATAACTCAACAACAACATGAACAAGCCCAGTAAAGTCTCGAAAAAGTAGGGTATGAGGAGGGTGTGTACGAAGACCTTGCCATTACTCGAGAGCGGGGAGGCGATCTCCAAGGAACCCCAACTCAATCATGGGAAGAGTAAATGAAAAGAATGGTTTTCAACTGCTGCAAAAGCATTGCTAAACAGTTCTTTTCACTATGTAAGATAACTTTCTGCTTTACTGTTGAAAACAAGAGATCCCCCAGTGCCCTACAGGATCCTACCCGACTTCCGCTTAATAATTTTTTATCCCGGTTTAGCTGGATATGGGAACTTCCCCGGACCCTCCCATTCCATTTGCTTATGGTACGCAATCGCCTTTTACCACTTATCCAATTCCATGTAAGGAAACTGGCCTGGCCCTACCACTTATCCACCCCCCACCCCACCCGCCCAACTTACATGCACCACTTACATATTTAGGCAAATGATGCAGGCAGTTAAATAGGCATCAAAGAAGACCACTACACAACTTACAATGGGAACCACAATGATGCAGACTGACCAATATATACATTCAGATTTTCATTGAAAAAAGTCTATGCCCCTTCCGCATAAAAGGGCAATGCACTATAGAAAATCTCATTCTGATGAAATTGACTTGCAGAAGAAATTAGAGTAAATGTGTGTAATCAAATGTTCCTGGTTCATGCTAAGCGATACATGTATTATATATACATACATGTGTGTGTGTGTGTGTGTGTGAATCAAATGTATAAGGAGAGACTCACATTTGAGTTGCTATCAACTTTGATATCTGTGGTAATCTTTTTGCTCTTAAGCTTAATATTAAGATCAGCCACAAATCGATCTCCTTTCTTTGACCCTGATGAGGTTATGGCCTGTGAAAATGAAAATAGAAGATATTACCTATGAGTATGCTAGAACACACTCATGACCTTAAAATCTCAATATGCACACAGACACACACATCGAAGATTGCTAAAAATTTAAATCAACCAGGAACATTAAAACAGCTCCAATAACTATCCTGAAATGCTGCACCAGACATCGATTCAAAATCAATGTTAACTCAAAATAGAGGCAGAATTTGTAGCTTTTAAGAAATCCACAACTGTTAGGCTGTAATGAGAAAAACCTAGCCACATTTACATTTACTTAACAGATCCGATTGAAACTAGAAGGAAACTCACAACTCCAGTTGGCGATTGGGTAGTGACTGTGAACTTGTGATCCGTCTGGTAATCTTTGTGTAGAAGATCTACTCAAACAAAATTGAAAGCAAACCAAAGATATCAGCGATTTTTCAACAGTATAAAATGTTAAAAGAGAAAGAATGAACCAAAGCGAGATGTTGTCCGGCTTGTTCACGAAACGAATAGAAAGCTTCAACGTTCGTTAATGCGGCCATTAATGGAGAAGAAGACATACCTCGAGCTTTCTTTCCGATGCCGGAGTAAAGACCAGGCCCTTTCCCCATGCTCTCGCTTGCTTGAACAGAAGCCGAGAAAAGCGGAGAAGAGCTCGGAAGGGGGGGTTTGGAACGCCAGTAGGAGAGAGGAGGTGTGTGACTCTACCAGCAAAGCCCTAGTTTTTGAACTGGAAACGCGAATTTCCAGCGGATGTTCTGAGTGGAATCTGGACCGTTGATGTGGAAATATGCTGGCGTGGGGTTGCGCGGGCACGGTGCGGATTTAAAGTTGACGTTTGGTTAAAAAGAAAAGTAGGAATGACACGCATCCCGTTGCTGTTCCTTCACCAGCAAAGGACTTTTGAATTGTGGAGGTAAGCATTTGTAGGCAATGATGAACACTCAATCAAATATTTTGATTCGGGGTGAGATTTTATATCAGATCGATCTTGATTTTGAACTATCGTTTGATATTAGTTTCGATAAAAATTGAGATGAATATGTATGCACCTAGCTCATGCTTTAAACTGTAACAAAATCTTTTATTTTAAAAAAATGAAATCACATTTATATAAAGAAATATAAAAAATTGAGAAATGAATAATTAAATTTAATAAATTTTTATGAAACTTTGTTTGTACTTCAAAAAACAAAAGAAAATGAATGATAAAAAATACTCAGTAATATTTTAAATGTTTGTTAATATTTTTATTTCATTTACAAAAAATTAAAACTCAGATAAAAGTATAGTTTACACATAATGCAATTTGAACCAAAATTTTAAAACATATTTATCATTTCATGAAGAAATCTAAAAAGGCTATTTTTAATAATATATTAGGTTCGTAATCTTTCCGTATGGGAGATTAGCGTGTATCGTTCCCAAATATCGAATCATCTGTTTGGTTTAGTACGATTTGACTCGTTTGCGTAATTTTATCAGTTTGGTATTTTTTGCTCCGATTTAATTTTTTTGTAAAATTTCCATATTGATTTAGTACTTGCTTATCCCTCGCAAATTGTGTATTGTGGTGTGTGAATGGGCCTACAGTTCTACCCCTACAATGACATCACAGTCAAATTCGATTCAATGAAACATCTATATCTATATTATATTTAAAAAGAGGTGAATCTTTTACTGCCCATATGTAAGAGTAATATATAGAAATGTTATACTCCCTTCGTCCCATGAAACATGGGACTTTTGCTTTTTATGAAGGATTTAAGGGGAGTGTATTTTGGTATTGAATTTCCAAAAATGTCCTTTGATGTGATGGGTAAAAGTATGATTTGATGGATAGATTATTAGTAAAAAGGTATGATATGATAGTTAGGGTATGAAAAAGTAAGGGGCAAAAATGACTTTTTAATAGAAATGAGAAGTGTTTTATGGGACGGATAAAAAAAGAAAGGAGAAAGGTTTCATGGGACGGAGGGAATACATTTTACTCATTATATATATGTGGATGCATTAAATTTAGTAAGCATTAATTAATACTCCATAATTAATGATAAATGGAATACATTAAAGATATTTTTGTAGGAACTTTAAAAATGAGGAATTTCATAGAAGTATTAACTAATACATAGTAATTAATTAATAATTAATGGTAATGTAAAATTTCATATGAGAACTAAAATTGTTTCCATTTTTATTTAAACATATCAATATGTTTTTTAATAATAACGAAACAGTAAAGTGGAGAGGGAAATATCATTCGATTTTTATTTAAATGCTATGCCAATTAATGGTAAGTAAAAGATAGGAACATGTTTCTATTTTTATTAAAAAAAATTATGTTTTTGTATGAGCATTAAAAATGTTTTTATTTTTATTTAAATACATTAATATGTTTTATTTTTAATAACACCAAAAATAGTAATTTGAAAATGTGAATATGTTTCTATTTTTATTTAAATGCTACGTTAGTTAATGGTAAGTGTTGCTATGATAATTTTGGATTCTATTAATTAATAATTATATGGTAAAGGGGAATATGTTTCTATTTTTATTAAAAAAATGACTGTTTTCGTATGAGCATTAAAAAAATTTCCATATTTATTTAAAACTTATTACCATTTTTTATGTTTAAAATTTTCATTTATTTAAAACTTTATTTAAAATAGTTATTACCATTTTTTACCCAGTTTAAAATTAAAAATTATTATCATTTTGATCTAAGTGTAAAAATAATAACGTACACTTAGTTTTTTTTATTCCACGGGTAATGAAATATACTTGGAATAAAATTTCCAAAACATTAACTATTTTTGATAATATGAAAAGAAATGAACAAAATAACAAAAAATCGAAGTTCTCTATAAAATTTAACTTTTATCGTTAAATGAAAAAAATAATTGCCCGAATAACAGTCTCTTTATAAAGTATTTAAATGGAATCATAAATTACGAATAAGATGTATAAATAACTACTTTGAGAATCACGAACGTTTTATTTTTATTTTTTAATATTTAGGGGAAATTGTCTACATTGTACATTGTGGATAGATAATATTTATCTCGTGATTGATGGTCTCAACAAAGTGGTATCACCACCTCAAATTCCGGTAATGTAAATGGTGAAACCCAGCATTAAAAAAAAGTAGACACAAAAATTTAATTGTCTAATGAGTGGTTTATATTTTAGAACGAGTCTCGGTTACACAAATATTTAAAAGTCGTCTAACGAGTGTAAGATAATTTTTTTTTTACTCAATGAAAAAAATACTATTTTCATTGTTATTAAAAAAGGAGTAAAATGCCAACAAAAAGACATAAAACAGAGACACTACAAGTATCGCTTTCCGTAAAAACGAATCATTGCAAAAAAAATTAGTTTCTTTTTTTTACATGCTCCTTTGTTTTTATGGAGTATATATATAGATCTCCACTTTATTAACAATTTGACAAAATGAAAAAAAACAACACAATTAACTCTGAACAAATTTTTTAACCGGAGTTTTGATTAATGTTATTTATATTTTAGTCATGGACAAATGTATGTTGTAGTTTTAAGAGTACTAAATCATATTTTTTTAAGATTCTAATATGCAACGAAGACAGTATTTTTACAAATTTATATGAGTAATATGAGTTATAAAGTAGTCTTTCAAATATTGTAAATCATTTAACTTTTATAACTTAAAAAAATGAAATCTCTATATTCTATTATATACTAATTTGTGACATTCAAAAATGATGTTAATATAATTTAGTAACTTAAATATGACCCGTGCAACACACGGGTGTGATACTAGTGTGTTTAATGTATAGAGTACTATAATTGTGAAAAAATTGATCACCCTAGTTTTTATCTTCAAATTATTTTGACAATATTACATTTTGAACAAAGATTTGGGTAACGGATTCTAAAATGACTCGCTAAAACAATTTAAATCAGATCAAATTTGACTTGCCTGACCTATGTTGGAGTTTTATATGGAGGAAGAATCCGGTGAATGCATAAACCATACCCGCGTATCTATATTTATACAAATGAAAAGAACAGGAACGAACATGTTCATTCATGTAAAGGAGCATTCGCGCAAACAGTTGTTTGCGATTTTTGGAACAATTTTAGACGTATATGTTTGACATCGGTCAGGGGCCCTGCACATTGGGCCCCGCCAGGGGCTGCCGCCCATTGGACCTTGCTACGTGGGATACTGCCTCCGGAACCCTGCTATTAATTTGTAATATCATTGAACAAGTGTGCACTCCGCACCTGTCAACTTGTTCGACCATATGTATTTAAATTCTTGTCTTATTATGTAAACTCAATTACACAAAATAATCAATGACCTTAAAATCAACAACATGTTAAGGTAATTTTTTCTCAGAATCATTCACTTTTAATACGAAATTTAATGTAATAAAAATAACTCCATTACACCCTGAATTGTACTCCCTCCGTCCCGGAAAACATGGGAGTTTTGATTTTGAAGAAGGATTTAAGGGGAGTGTATTTTGGTATTGAATTTCCAAAAATGTCCTTTGATGTGATGGGTAAAGTATGATTTGATGGATAGATTATTAGTAAAAAGGTATGATGTGATAGGCAGGGTATGAAAAAGTAAGGGGTAAAAGTGACTTTTTAATAGAAATAAGAAGTGTTTTTTGGGACGAATGAAAAACGAAAGGAGAAAGGTTTTCAGGGACGGAGGGAGTATGAGTTTACATAAACACTCAGAGATTAAATTAATCGAACCTCAACTCCTAGAACTTTTATATGTTTATATCAGTGCTTCCAGAATTGGAATATGTTTTTTTTTTGAAACCCAAACTTTCCATTAATTAAAGATAATGCAGTACATCATGCGGGGGATCATTCCACCATTCATGGCACCCGTTAATTGCCAATCTAGCAAGGGTGTGTGCAATCAAATTTGACAATCTAGGGATATAACAAAAATTAACAAAACGAAAACAATATGTAAGATTCTTGCATTCGTCCTCCAACGCACTTAGATACGACCGAGCACCTGACACGCCATTCCTCAAGGCCTGAACCGCTTGAGCACAATCTGAAAAAATCAAGACTTCTTGGATATTCTTCTCCTTGAGCCATGAGAGCGCCTCCTTAATAGCCATCGTTTCCACGTATCTCGGCACCAAGGGACATAAAACCAATTTGTAGAAGCCCCCAACGAACCTGCCAGTGCCATCAAGCAGAGCGGCCGCCACCGATGTAGAATTATATTGGTCAAACACGGCAGCATCAACGAAGCAGTGTGTTATTTCCGGCCGACTCATCTGATGTGGCCTCTGGTGCGTTGGCATCGACACCGTGTCACCATGCAACATACCACCTGCCCTGGCCATGCGTACTTCACATGCCCATTCCGCCACGATCTCAGGTTTTACTACCTTTAATTCCCAACAAGCATGATTTCGAGCCTTCCATATTGCCCATATGCCCGCAGCCAACACTGCCAAATCAGAAGTTGACATCGAGCTGAAAGCAAACAATAAGCAGGCAGTAAAATTATTATGCAAACCTATAGCTATATTGCTGCCAAGGAGCCTCCAAATTTTTAGAGCAAAAGGACAAAGTAGAAAAACATGCTCTAATGACTCCTCTGGTGCACCACAAATGCGGCAGTTTAGATCAATGTCAACTCCCTTGGTTCCGAGTGCTAATGCCGTGGGTAAGACACCCCTTAAACATCTCCAAATACAGTTTTTTACTTTAGGCAAAATCGGCAGCCCCCAAAGTCAGCCCCACGGGTCAAAAATGCTAACCTGAGATGCTTCCCCGCACAGCTTCCTGTAAGCGCTTTTCACAGTGTAAACTCCATGTGTTTCCGCCACCCAAAACCAGCAGTCTTTGCGAGAGAGAGACACCGGAGTACGATGGATACGAACAGTGTCTTGCTCCGAGAACCACTCTCGCAGCACATCCATTTTCCATGAGCCGTTCTCCTGATCAATAAGATAAGAAACCTTGAAATTTGGGCAGAAAGGTGGTTTAGGTGATGTGATGTAAGGCATGTCCTTGTCCCAGACCCATGGGTAGTCCCATACGAGAGAGTCTCGTCCGTCTCCAATCCGTTGACCTATGCCATTAATGATAAGATGACGAGCACCTAAAATACTCCGCCATACGAAACTTGGTGAAGAGCCAAGTTCCGCATTTAGGAAATCCCCTTTTGGGTAGTATCTCGCCTTAAAGACTCTTGCCACGATAGAATCAGGGTTGACCAACAATCTCCAACCTTGTTTGCCAATCATAGCGATGTTGAAGTCTCGTATCCTCCTAAAGCCCAGCCCACCAAATTTTTTTGGCGTCGACATCCGCTGCCATGATAGCCTGTGAATACCCGTTGGGTTTGAGCTCTTGCTACACCACCAAAACTGATTCATTATCCCTTCTATTCTATGACAAAGGCCAATGGGAAGAAGAAAAACACTCATGGCATATTGGGGTAGTGCTTGAGCGACGGTTTTAAGCAAGATTTCCTTCCCTGCTTTAGAGAGAAACTTTTTGCTCCACCCTCCAACACGGCTCCTGATCTTGTCTATGATGAAAGAAAAGGTCTCAGACTTGTGTCTCCCAATGAACGAGGGTAAGCCCAAATACTTTCCAAAGTCCACAGCTTTCGTAACCCTAAAAATATCTGTCAAAATGTCCTGCGTGGTGGTAGGAGTGTTTGTGCTAAAACAAATGGTGGACTTATGGAAATTCACCTTTTGACCAGAGAGATGCTCATAATCCTCAAGACATTGACGAACTACTTGAGCCTCCTCAGCTGTTGCTTTAAACAGGAGTAAGCTGTCATCAGCAAAAAATAAATGAGAGATAGGTGGGGCTCCTCTTGCCACACGAACCCCATGCAGAAGTTTTCTTTCCTCGGCTTTCCTCAAGAGAAGGGATAGACCTTCCGCACAGATAATAAAAAGGTAAGGGCTCAGGGGGTCACCTTGTCGGAGGCCCTGTGAAGGACTTAAAACGTCTGTGAGGGAACCATTAACAAGTGCTCTGTATCTGACCGAGGTCACACACATCATAATAAGATTGATCCATCCAGTATCAAAACCTAGCCAACAGAGCATGTTTTCCAAGAAATTCCACTTTACTCTATCATAAGCCTTTGCCATGTCAAGTTTCAGCCCAACCCAACCATTAGTTCCACCATGATTTCGACGTAGATAGTGCCCTATCTCTGCGGCCAGAAGAATGTTATCAGATATGAGTCTCCCCGGTAGGAAAGCTGACTGGTTCTCCGAAATCAAGCTTTGTAGTATGGGCTTCATTCTGTTTGCAATAATTTTAGCGATAATTTTGTAGACCACATTGCAAAGAGCAATCAGTCTAAGGTCTCCCACAGTGACTGGCTTATTCTTCTTGGGGATTAAAACTAATGTTGCGTCCCCAAGACCCTGTGGAATAGAGCCCCTCCGAAGACAGCCCAGGATGAAACTTGTCGTGTCTAATCCCACCACGTCCCAACATTTCTGAAAGAAAGCGGGATTCATTCCATCCGGGCCAGGTGCTTTATCTGGGTGCATGGAAAACAAGGCATTTTTCACCTCCTCCTCTGTAAAGGCTGCCAAAAGGTTTGCATTTTGTTCACTTGACACTTTAGGATGATCAACGCTCGAAAAGATGTCCATGTTCAGTCTTCCATCTTCCTGCGGCCCTGAACAAACAAAAAGATCAGAATAGAATTCGAACACAAGATTGGTGAGACGTCTACCTTCCTGCCAGTTGCCATTGTTGTCCTTAAGCTTTTGGATATAATTCTTCTTCTTTCGGTGCGAAGCATAATTATGGAAATAACGGGTGTTTCTGTCCCCAGCGCTAAGCCAGTGTTGCTTTGCACGTTGTCGCCAGTAGCAATCCTCTTTGTCCATCAAGAAATCGATCTCCTTCGTGATATGAATTCTTTCCGTCATGGCTGCCGAGCTACGATTTCCACGGAGTCCCTCCAAAACCCCTTTCAACTGCCTAATTTTCTCGGATACATCCCTATTTTTGCCTTCACCCCAACCTTTAAGTTTCTCTCCACAAAAATGGAGCCTGTCCGAGAATGATTTACCAATAGAAGAAGCCCAGCATTCTTTCATAAATGGTTTAAAGGACTCCTCAAGCAGCCACGAGTTCTCAAATTTAAACTTGTGTTGAGGACGCATAAATTCCTTCCCACGGAGGAGCAAAACTAAAATTGAGTGATCTGACCAGCGAGAGAGCTTGTTGACAAGTCTGTTTTGAGGAAATAAACTCCTCCAGCTTGAAGAGACAACTGCTCTGTCAAGTCGTTCTTCAACCCAGTCCGGAGTGCCCTTCTTCCACTCCCACGTAAACTAGTAGCCCTCCATAGTCACATCCGCTAACTCACAGAAGGACAAGGCATTATTGAAACCTTCAATTAAGTTAGGGGGCCTTGTATATGTTTTTATTTTACTTCCAGAATTTGAAGATAAAAAAGAATATTTGAAAAAAAACACCTATAAAAAGAGAATCGTGTTTGATTTCGAGGGTCGAAGTTGTGTTGAAGATGTGTTTCTTTCTCATTGCGTCCAAGCGGAGTATAAAACTCGGGGAGCAGTGACCTGAAACTAGGGCTGGTCAATCGGATCGATCCGATCCGAAAATTCGGATATCCGAAAATTTCGGATCATGTAAAACTCATTCCATATCCGATCCGAAAATATTCGGAAATCCGAATTTTCGAATCGGATCATTAGATTATCCAAAAAGTTGACATTTTAGCCAAAATTTACAAAAAGAAAAGGTAAAATAGCAAAATCAACCCACAATATCAAATTCAATATAGATTTACTAAAAGAAAAATTTCACCACAAGATAATGGCCTAATAAAAAATTGATACCAAATTCAAATTGGGAGTAACTTTGGTAATTTTGCCTAAACAAACAAAAAAAATTACTCCCTCCGTCCCACTGTTTTTGTCCACTTACCTTTTGGCACACCATCCAATGCACTTCTTTAATCCATTTTATCTTGTAATTTGTATATTAAAAAATTATAGAAATTATATATTAATAATCTATATGTTAAGACAAATCAAACAAGATCACACATGACTATATTTAGGCTTACACATCGAGAGAATTTGATGAGTCAAAGTGCTTAGATGAACAGTTCCAAAAGTCAAAAGTGGACAAAGACAGTGGGATGGAGGTAATACTATTAAAACAAAAAGTTTTAAAATGCTAATGCAAAAAGTCCAAAATGCTTGAGTTCCAAAATCAACATAAAATTGCTTTAAACATATACCCATAATATATATCCATAAAATCCCATTAAACATATAGCAAAAATAAAATCGGATATCTGATGATCCAAAAAATTCCAAAATTTGAATCCATATCCGATCCGATTTTTTTCGGATATCCGATCCGAAATATCCGAAAGCTAAAATATCGGATCGGATATCCATTTTTCGGATCGGATATGCTCGGATCATGGACGGATTTTTCGAATCGGATATTTTTGAACACCCCTACTTGAAACCATAGAAAGAGCATTCTTTCTTTTCACACCCTTGCTGAATTAATCAGGCATCTAAATTATTCAGGCACTTCCATTGTAGCAGCTTTCTTCATTGGCGAGGAAGGAGGAGAGAGAAAGCTAGCTACTATCCAGCTTCTTCTTTCCCACACCGGAGGTTTTAGCTCTTTTAAAACCAAAACAAAAAGCAAAGCTTCGAAATGATGGGCACGACCTTACTTGAACAGGATCTGTTCTATAGGCCGTACTTCCATATCCCTCACTCTAAGAAGATAGGAAACCAAGCCTGGTTGATGAAAAATAGCTAATGGGCCAGAGCGTGAGTAGCAACTTTTGGGCCTAGCATATATGGGCTCACGTGGCAGGGCATCGTTCTCAGCCCTCTCCTGTGGGGCTGGGATGGCCCCCACTAAGACCTGACAGGTCTTATTCTTTTTTTCCTCCCCAATTCTTTTCATCTATTCAAATAATACTTTTCTCTTTTTTTTTATCAATATTAAGTTCAACAAATTTTGAATTTCCATAAAACTTTTGTTCCTTTACCCCTCAAGTTCTTTTTAAATTCATATAAAATATCTGCCCCCCCCCAATTATTCATCCATTCAAATTAAATAATACTTTTCTCTTTATTTATCAATATTAAATTCAACAAATTTTGAATTTCCATAAACCTTTTGTTCCTTTATTCCTCAAGTTCTTTTTAAATTCATATAAAATATCTGCCCCCCCCCCAATTATTTCATCCATTCAAATTAAATTCAATTTAAATAATACTTTTCTCTCTTTTTTTATCAATATTAAATTCAACAAATTTTGAATTTCCATAAATCTTTTGTTCTTTTACCCCTCAAGTTCTTTTCAAATTCATATAAAATAAAGATAAATTCTTACATAGTCCTAAAATCCTTTCTCATTTCATAGACCTTAGTGCAATAATATCATAAAAATGAGCCTTTTCTAATTAAAAAAATACTCCGGAGTATTCACTACTAACCCAACCCATAAAAAAGTGAGAATATCCATATTTTACATACGGACTTTAAGACCATAAAATAACAACTCATAAATGAATTACAAATAATAACTAACACTCCCTCCGTCCCAGAAAACATGAGAATTTTGGTTTTGGAGAGGATTTAAGGGGAGTGTATTTTGGTATTGAATTTCCAAAATGTATGATTTGATGGATAGATTATTAGTAAAAAGGTATGATGTGATAGGTAGGGTATGAAAAAGTAAGGGGTAAAAGTAACTTTTTAATAGAAATGAGAAGTGTTTTTTGGTACGGATGAAAAAAGAAAGGAGAAAGATTTTCAGGGACGGAGAGAGTATAATACAATTATTCCATCCTTTTTGTCCTCATTTCTTTTCAACAGAGCCGGCTCAATCCAAGGGTTGGGTGGCCATAAGACCGTCATTATGCGAGCTTGTGTTCTCTATCTTGGCTTTCATTCCATAAATAACAATGTGTGAAGCTTTCTTGATTGTCTTGGTTAATACTCCCTCCGTTCCATAAACCCTTCCGGTTTTGACTTTGGAAAAAATAAGGAAAGTATAATTTTGGTTGACTTTCCAATTTTGCCCCTGATGTGATGAGAAAAAGTAAGATGAGATAGTTTGGTTATTAGTGAAAAAGTATGATGTGATAGGTATGATATGAAAAAGTAGGGGTAAAAGTGGTTTTTTAATAGAAAGTGGAACTGTTTTGTGGAAAACAAAAAAATGAAAGAGAAAGATTTTTGTGGAACGGAGGGAGTATTCATTCTTTCATTTGGCATAGATTGACATGAGGGCAAATGTCTAGTCTTAATTAGTGTCTCTAGCTCTTAATTGATTGTTTAAGAGCACGCGATGATTTAAGTGTGGAGAGTTGATTGCTTGACTATCTTTAGTGACTAAATTTGCTGTCATATGGCATAACTTGTCTGACTATATCAAGTGGTAGAATTTGTTAACTTTTATCCAAACTGATATCTTCTACTAGCTTATCACAAAGATCCTCACACTACATATATGAATACTTTAATTAAATTTGTAGAAAATTGGATTCAAACACTGCAAACTAAAAAATTGGTCAATATATTATAGAGAGAACAAATTATCATCACTGTTGCTTTTGAGAAAAATATGTTTATTAAGTACGAGACAAATCACGATATATACATGCATGGGAATTCATTAAAAAAAATGGTGGTAGAGAAATATGTCATTGCAACCTTTGGAAAATTTGTGGTCTTCCCAATTATTCGGACATGGCATATAATATCCCTGCCATACACACTCTTGAGGAACAAATACTAGCTACCATTTAAGCCACAATACCTTCTTCATCATATATGATTTGTTCACGACCAACTTACCCCGATCACTTTCGCGATCTATAGGGTAAGTCTGGTCGGGAACAGGGAGTTCCTGCTCGTTCTTCGAGAGCGACAAACTTTATTTGTCGCAAAAAAAAGAAGAAAAAAATTGTAAATACATAGGGAAAAAATGAGTTATAAAATGGGGGGATTTGGTTCATCATGGGTGGTTTTGTTGTTGTTGTTGTTGAGCAGTGCCGCAAAAATAATTCCCTTTGCGAATGGTAACATAAGCGGAGATTTGGACGAGGTGTGGCGGAGGCGGATGTTAGAAGCCCGTGAAAACACGCTCAACACATACGAGTCCGACCCCTTTGATGTCACCGACGCTCTCAACCGTGAAGTCCAGTTGTATGGCTTCCCTCCCTGCCTTTTATAAAATCTTAGGCCCCGTTTGGTACACAAAATTCAAACTTTGGAATTGTAATTGAAGATTTCAATTCCAATTCTGGTGTTTAGTAGCCCAAAATTCAATTCCATATACCAAACGGACCCTTAAAGCTTTTTATTGTAGAAATTTTTTTAATGTTTGATTTTTCACGATACTCAATACAATGTTTTAATTATTAATTACTTCATCCGTCTCGAAACTATTGTCCTATTTTTTTCCAATGTTTGATTGCATATCTTAATTTTCAATTCAATTCAATTATTAATTTATTGATGCAAAAATTTAAAAATAACATTTATATAATTACAAATAAATAAAAAATGCTGCAGATAAAAAATATGACAAAACTATTTTATTTTAACATATGATCAATGAAAATAAAGAAGAAAAATTTTGACATAAATATATAGCAGCTCCCTAAGTTGGAATATAATTTTGGGACAGGGCGAATAATAATTATAAACCGTATATAATTATTTACTCCGTGTTAAAAGTTTGAAAAAGAAAAACTAAATCTTAATATATTACATTAACATTAAACAAATTAGGTATATATAAATTAAATTTGTTTTACCAATTAAAGTTTATATACATTGGATGCATGCAGGGCATTAGAGTGGATGAAGGCGGTGATAGAAGGGAACCTTAACGGCACAACATCGAGTGGTCGGAAACTAATGGGGACCAAACACTACACCGGCCCGTGCAACGCCACCAACCCAATCGACCGTTGCTGGCGCTGCCACTCCAACTGGGAAACCAACCGCAAGCGACTCGCCGATTGCGGTCTCGGCTTCGGCCGAAAAGCCACCGGTGGCAAGAACGGCAGATTCTACGTCGTCACCGACCACTCCGACGACTCCACCGACCCCAAGCCCGGCACCCTCCGGCACGCCGTCATCCAGAAGGAGCCACTCTGGATCGTCTTCGCCCGCGACATGAACATCCGGCTCCACCAGGAGCTGATCGTGCAGAGCCACAAGACCATTGACGGCCGCGGGGCACAGGTTGTTAGAATAATAGATTGAAGAATTTATTTAAATAGCACTAAAATATAATGATTTGTCTTTCTTTTCGGTGTAGCACTTTTAGTCATTATGCATTAGTCATTATTTAAGTAAATATTCTACATCACCGGACATTATGGACATTATTAAGTGCTATTTAAGAGAAAAAACAGTTTAAGTGCTTTTTAGAGAAATGACTTAAATTTTAGTGCTATTTAGTACAAATATTTCTAATTTTAGATTTACTAGAGAATAATAAAGAATACAAAAGAGTATATACAAGTATGAAGTATCATTCCTAACACAAGTAGAAATCTGTTAAATAATACTCCCTCCGTCCCAAAAAGATTTACCCATTTTGACTAAAGTTGAAATTAAGGGAGGGATAATTTTGCGTTGACTTTCCAAAAATATCCTTGATGTGATGGGTAAAAGTAGGATGTGATGTGTAGATTATTAGGAAAAAGGTATGATGTGATAGGTAGAGTTTGAAAAAGTAATGGTAAAAGTGGTTTTTTAATAGAAATGGGTAGGAGATTGTGGGATGTAATTTTTTTAAAAGATGTAAATCTTTTTGGGACGGAGGAAGTACTTTTCTAATAAGCAAATACATTATACATGAGGTGAAGTAGAAGATGACTAGTAAGCAAATACTACCGTAACTAATACTTTTTTCACCATTTTAAGAGTAATTTGACACTCTACACGTGCACATTATTATATTTTCTGGTAATGTACATGACTATATTTGGTAATGTAAATGTATTTTAATTTCTATTTTGGGAATAAAAACATGAAAGTCTTATTTTGATATATTTTCATTGTTTTAGTCATACTTTAATCTTTTTCCATAATTATTAATGTCAAACACAGGTCCACATCTCCGCCGGTGCCGGAATCACCCTCCAGTTCGTGAAGAACGTGATCATCCACGGCCTCCACATCCACGACATCGTCCAGGGGAGCGGCGGCCTGGTGCGGGACGCAACGGACCACATCGGGCTCCGGACAGTGAGCGACGGGGACGGGATATCGATCTACGGGTCGTCGGACATATGGATCGACCACGTGTCGATGAGGAACTGCAAGGACGGGCTGATCGACGCGATCGAGGGGTCGACGGGGATAACGATATCGAACGGGCACTTCACGGACCACAACGAGGTGATGCTGTTCGGGGCGAGGGACAGCTCGTCGATCGACCAGATCATGCAGATCACGGTGGCGTTCAACCACTTCGGGAAGAGGCTGGTGCAGAGGATGCCGCGGTGCCGGTGGGGGTATATCCACGTCATCAACAACGATTACACCCACTGGAACATGTACGCCATTGGCGGGAGCCAGCACCCCACCATCATCAGCCAGGGCAACCGCTTCATTGCCCCTCCTGATCAGTTCAAGAAAGAGGTGCGTGTATATTCTAACGTTTGGCAATGGAAAGTTCTAAAATGACCGATTGCACAAGTGAAGTAGAATAAGATATTATTAAAAACGGATTACAGGTGACGAAGAGGGACTATGCGACGGAAGGAGAGTGGAGGCAATGGACGTGGAGATCGCAGGGAGATCTGTTCATGAACGGGGCGTTCTTTGTGGAGTCCGGAGATCCGAATTTCTCGGAGAAGCACCCAAATCTGTACGACGGCATAGCTCCTTTCAAGGGAGAGGAAGTGACTTGGTTGACCAGATTCGCAGGCGCTTTGACTTGCCGCCCCGGCCGTAGTTGCTGATGATGATCACGACTCTGTTTATATGTAAATCTCTACCAAATGTAGATAAAAAGAATATAAGAAATCTTGTAATTCTACCCAAGAACATGGGGAAAAAATAATCTTGTAAATTGTAATTGACAGAATGTTCCTTTTTTGCCCGGAAATCGAAGCAAAATTAGGACTCTAATGCGTTTCCCAGGAGAGATTCACTATCTAGCTTTTATCGTTTACGAACAGAGCAGGTTTGGGGTGTCCCACGACAAGCATCGATGTTATTAGCCATTCAAAAAATATATTCTAAAATCATATCATTTTATTCAAAATTAAACGTTTCAAAACAATGCAAAATTATTTATGAAATACAAATACTCAACAAAACATATATATATATAAAAGCACGTTAGATTGACATTCAACCATAAGAACTTATTCGTACGACAAGTGTTAAACTATGTTGGAGATCATAACGATAGCGTGGATCAATCGAGAGTCATGTATAACACTTTCAGATTGAATATTTTAATTGTTCAATACAAATTCAATTGGATAAAACTCGAAAGTAACAAGAACGAGTATGGATTGTTGTGAATTTTTGAACACTTCTTCAACTAAAGATTTCCAGGAATATATAGAGTTGCGGTGGAGAAGAAAAGACAAGATCACGTCTTTTTATCCAAGACGCGCGATCCCTCGCGCGAAACCTTTTGAACAAATCGGTGCTATCCTTAACGATTTCTCTTTTTAAAGAAAATTCGAAAAAAAAAATTTAAATAATTTTTTTAACATAGCACTTTATCCAACCAGGGGCTCTGCCCCTTGAACCCTGCTTGGAGGCGCTTGGAACCCTCAATAAAACGGGACTTTTATCCTAACAAATTCAACGAAGCGTGTACTCCGTACTACCAAACTTCTTTGATAATTATTAGGATATCATTGGTCATAGTTTTTCCAATTACACTAAAATATATAACAAATTGATGAGTGGTATATATAATAATGGAAAACGCAATTGATGAATACTCCATCCGTCCTCATTTTGATTACAATTTTTTCCATATCCTCTCAATAATATTTGTTTATTTACGCGATTTAATTAAATATTTGATAAAATAAAAGAATTTGGTCACCTCTTGTTTTGTAGAATTCTTGACGTAATTTTTTAATGTATAATGTTTATTTTATATCGATATGCCGATTTATAAATAAAATAATTTTAAAAAAATTCTCGTAAACCTTGATCTTATCTTGATCAAGGCCACCTTCATTAAACTACTAAATTCACCCCAATCACATCCTCACTATTTAATTACCGTAATTATTTTATATTCATCCAGTTTGACTTCTTTGAATCAAATTGTATAGACCTAAACTTTAAACAAGATCAGATTTTAAATAAAAGAATTTGAAATAATATCAGCCAAAAATCCTACAGAGTAAATTACTTGCAAAAGAATGAAACTAAATGATGTATTATTTCAACTTTGATTAAACTCCTTACTTATTTACTATTTACTACTCCCTACTTTTTTTTAAAATTTGATGAAGTCAAACTCTAGAATTTACTCTCTTCTTCCATAAAGATGTTCTATTTTGATTTTTTAGAAATTTAAAGTAGAGACATTTTTTGTTGACTTTCTAAAAATATGTTTGATGTAATATGTAAAAATAGAATATGATTATTAATGAAAAGCTATGATATACTTAGGGTTGTTCATGTTTAGGTCTGGACCGAAAAAAGCGACCGAACCGGACCGTTCGGTCTAGACCGAACCGGACCGTTTGGTCCAGACCGAATCCGAACCGAATGGATTTTGGGTCGGTCTTCGGTCCAAAAAAATTAGGAATTCGGGTTTCGGTCCTGTCCGGTCCAAACCCGAAATGATTTAGGTTCGGACCGATTGGACCGGATGAACCTAATAACCCTATTGGACCTAAAAGACCTAAATACGTAAACTCTACTTTTTAAGTTGCGTAATACACTTTGACGTTTTATTTGAATAGATATTTTACTTTATTTAATTTAAAATATTTTTGTTAAGATTTTTTTTAAAAAAAAAGTTAAAAAAAATGGTTTCGCATTAGTTTTTATTATTCTACATGGAAGTAGTTCATGTTGTGTATCTATTTTTAGGTTGTCTATTTTTTTGCTATTTGTACGCTACAAAATAAAAAGACTAAAATATTGTTTTTGAAAGACAAACCATCAAAACCTAAAATATATTTAAATGATCAAAATAATTAAAAAAATACATTTTTATTCGGTCCAATCGGTCCGGACCGGTTTGGTCCTAAGTATTTCAGTCCGGTCCGGTCCAAACCCGAATAGATTTAGGTCCGGTCTTCGGTCCGTGATTTTAACCAATTCGGTCTTCGGTCCGGTCTGGGTCGGTCCGATTCGGTCCGGTCTTGGACCGATGAACACCCCTAGATATACTCCTCCATCCTAAAAATTCTTTCCCCCTTCTTTTTTTACTTGTCCTACAAAATCTTTCCCATTTATATTTTAAAAACCATTTTTACTCAAAATAATTTCTAATCTACCTATGACATTTTACCTTTTTACTAATAATCTACATATCACATTCTACTTTTATTCATCACATCAAGGATATTTTTGGAAAGTTAACGCAAAAGTATTTCTACCTTAAATTTTCTAAAAGTTAAAATGAGAATATATTTTTGAGATGGGAGAAGTAATAGATAGAGTAATACTATAATTAGTAGAGGTAAAAGTATTTAATCAACACTAGTAGTAATAGTGTGAAATGTATTTTGTGTAAATAAATACTCCCTACAAAAATGAATCCCTCAAAAGGTCCTGAAAACTCGTGAGTCATGACTCATGAGTGGTTTATATTTGGGGAAGAATTGGAAGCTGAGGCAAAATATGATATTGATGGACCATTTCCATATATCACACATAATTTATGTTGATATATACCATACATATGTATGTATGTATATGCATGGCTGGATGGATGAGCATAATTGTAGCTCAATCATACCCAAAACTGGGCACATTTTTTGCACAACTCTTAACAACCTCTGCCTATTTAAGATACTTGAAACATCCCTTTTAGAGAGTAAGCTAATGGGATCAAACCCAAACTACATTTAAAAAATACAATAATATATATATAAACTACTATATATATAATTTATAATTAAATATTTAGGGATAATATATCTTAATTAACCCTACATATACACTTTTGCCATCTATATCTAGATGCAAAAAGATTAAATACATTTTAAAAAACATTTTTTGCCAAAAGATCATATAATAATGGAGATGTATAGTTATTATAAGATGATGTGGATATTGTTCGTGGTGGCGGGATTCGCCACCACGAGCCACGGCAACACGCTTTCCGAAGACGACCATATGTGGAAGCTAAGGGAGGCCGAAGCTATGGTTCATAACCTCAAAGCTTACCATCCTAAGCCTGAAGCAGTTACCAAAGAACTCCATGCCAAAGTCCACATGTAAAAATCCATATATATACTCTCCCTATCAAAATTCCCTTTGCATGCATGCATGCATGGTTTTTTTGCATGTTTTATTTTTCTGTCCCAAAATAAAGTTTATACGTAATTATCTTTTTTAAAATGTTTAAATTAAAAATAAATTCAGCTTTTACACACATTTGACCTTTTTTTATCAATACTTCTAAATGTTGACCATAATATATGTGAAAAAACATTACAGAATACTCCATATATAATTACTTTCAAATAATTTTCAATTACTTATATATTTTTAGCTTTCAACATTTCTTTTTGAATTATTTCATAAAGAAACCCAAAAAATGGAATGAATCAATCCCTAGAAGATCGAGAGCTAGTATTGAAAATATATTTTGGTCGGGTGCATGCATGCAGTGCATTGAACGAGACATTTGGAGAATGGCATGGGAGCAACAGCACGAGAAGGGAATTGGTGAAGAAAACTCTAAGCTTCAGGGAGGGCGGATGCAAGGCCACCAACCCCATCGACCGGTGCTGGCGGTGCAACCCCGACTGGGCGGAGAACCGCTTCCGGCTGGCGGACTGCGCCTTGGGTTTCGGCAAGGGAACCACCGGAGGAAAGGGCGGCGCCATCTACGTCGTGACCGACTCCTCCGACAACGACGTGCTCGAACCCAAGAACGGGACCCTCCGCCACGCCGTCATCCAGAAGGAGCCCCTCTGGATCGTCTTCTCCCAGAGCATGACCATTCGCCTTTCCCATGAGCTCATCATGCAGGGCGACAAGACCATCGACGGCCGCGGCTCCACCGTCCAAATCGCCGGCGGTGCAGGTTTGTATATAATTAAAGTCTAAAGACTCTTTTTTAATATGGAGTAAAAAAGACTTACACATATTACTTTTCCTTAAATAAAGACCAATCCTATATTTATTCTAACGTTTGGCTACAAAAAATTCTAAAATGTCCTAAGAAAAAATGATCAATTACACAATTTAAGTAAAATAAGACATTATTAAAAATGATTTATTATTAAATTGTTTTTAAGATCCAATTTGTTATTAAAAAGGTATAAAGATCCAATTCGTGAAGAACGTGATCATCCATGGCATCAAAGTAGGGGATATCAAAGTGACAAGCGGCGGCATGGTGAGAGACTCCGTTGACCACAAAGGTCTCCGGGGCTCCGACGAGGGGGACGGCATATCCATCTTCGGGTCGAGCAAGATCTGGATCGACCACGTGTCCATGCACAACTGCGCGGACGGGATCATCGACGCCGTCGCGGGGTCCACCGCCATCACCATCTCGAACTGCCACTTCACCGACCACGACAAGGTGCTGCTCTTCGGGGCCAACAACGTGGACCCCATCGACAAGGTCATGCAGATCACGGTGGCGTTCAACCACTTCGGGAAGCGGCTCCACCAGCGGATGCCGCGCTGCAGGTGGGGCCTCTTCCACATCGTCAACAACGACTACACCCACTGGGTGATGTACGCGGTTGGGGGCTCGGCGGGGGCCACCATCATCAGCCAGGGCAACCGGTACATCGCCCAGGTGGGGGAGAACTTCTTCAAGGAGGTGACCCACAGGGACTGCCCCGACGACTCGTGGAAGTCGTGGACGTGGGTTTCCTCCGGGGACGTCTTCCAGAACGGGGCGTTCTTCACGCCGTCGGGGGATCCCAACGGGGCAGAGAAGTACGGCCACAAGGACATGATGGAAGTGCAGTCCGGCCACGCCGTGCCGGAGCTCACCATGTATGCCGGCCATCTGTCGTGCACTCCTAAATCCCCCTGCTAATTATACAATTATCCATAAAACCGATCATTATAATTTATGAGTATAAATTTGGATGACAATAATTATTGAATGGCTAAGGAGTAATAGTAGTATAAAATACTCCGTACGTAATAAGAACTTATATCTAGCTAGCTATAAGGGCAGATCTCGTGCTCATAAATTAGTACAATAATGTTGCAATTTATGTTATGTAGTTTCACAGTTTGATGATAATAATAATTATTGTTTTTAGTAATACTTGTTAGGGTGCATTTTTTCTTATTATCATGGATGGGGCATATGCAGTATACATTCTATTTCTCCCTAATATACTCCCTCCGTCCCGTGAAACCTTTCTCCTTTCTTTTTTTATCCGTCCCACAAAACACTTCTCATTTCTATTAAAAAGTCACTTTTACCCCTTACTTTTTCATACCCTAACTATCACATCATACCTTTTTACTAATAATCTATCCATCAAATCATACTTTTACCCATCACATCAAAGGACATTTTTGGAAATTCAATACCAAAATACACTCCCTTAAATCACTCCTAAAAAGCAAATGTCCCATGTTTCACGGGACGGAGGTAGTAATTCATTACAAATGGTGCACGTTGTGCTAAAAAAAATAAAAATACGAAGTATGTTTTAAAAAAATTAAAAATTCGAAGTATGTTTTTTTATGGCAAATTAAAAGAGCACTCCACCGGTAAAACATTGTTTGCCCCTGGTGCTAAGAGAAAAAATCTAGTTTAAAAGTAAAAATAATCATTTAAATAAGATATAAATGTAAAATATATCATAGTTGTATTAGGTTATATTTTATAATATATTTTTTGACATTAAAAATATTTTATTTTACTTATTCGAATCTTGTTTGAAATTAAACTTTTTTTATTTTATTATTAGAAATAGCCTTTAAAAAGAATTTGGAGGCGCCATCGTCGAAGCCCCACGTGCCCTACTCCTTACAACGTGAGTTTCAGAGTTTGCCTCCAGTCATATTTTTTTCTAGATCCGCCACTGGCGCAGACATGAATTAGAAAGATATACTACCTCTGTCTCCAAAAACCTTTTTGTTTTGACTTTTAATATAAATTTAATATAATTGGATTTATCTTAGGATATAATTTTGATATATCAAATTTTTATAGCATTTATTTTATCAAATTATGTTTAATTTATAGTCAAAGAGTATCAGTATATGATAAAAAAAATCAAAACTGATCAAATTTTTATAACATTTATTTTATCAAATTATGTTTAATTTGTGGTAAAAAAATACCAGTATCTGATAAAAAGGAAAATATTTTCCGAATAGTATAAGAAGAGTTTAAGGATACACATGGTACTTGTTTCTACCCTCCGTGGGGACACGAGAGAAGCACTTCATCTCCGGATCTCATGGGACGACGACGATGGTGTATAGACCTTGCCTTCATGAAAAGGTGAAAGCTAGGTATGAACCACGACTACATTTCCCAGCAATCAAAGAAGGAACGATGACATTTGTCTTGGAGCTTACACCGATCATGCCGCGTAATCAAGGAGAATATTTGAGTGAGATTGTTCGATTTCAAATTCAGTTTGAGCTAAATGCAAGAACTATACAGTTTACTCCCTCCTCTATCCATATTATTATGTGATGCATTATTTTGAGTATGGACAATGCATCGGAAAATACCTTCTTCGATTCCGTGGAGTCCAATTGGGTTTCATTGTCATTGTTGTTGTTGCATTATTTCATTAGATAATTGTCAATCTACTCCCTGTCCCATTTTAAATTGTCTGTTTGCCTTTTTTCTCCGTCTCAAAATAAGTTGCCTATTAGTTATTTTCGTAAACTTTTACAAATAAAATACCTAAACTATTCCTAAAATAAATCACTCTTCTTCACATTATCTTCTCATTCATCGTCATCCCTCCTAAAAAGTAATGACAATTTCAAAAAATCAACTCTATTTTTTATTTTCCTTAAATATGCCTAAAAGTCAAAACAAGCGATTTAAATTGGGACGGAGGGAGTAATATTTAACTTAAGTGTTAAACTAGAAAAAAATACACTATGAACAAAAGAATAGCATTATACTCCACTCCGTAACTAGTTAACTATCACTAGGGATTTTCGAACTATAGAATGATTACTATGTTTGGTTCAAGGAATTTGAACGGAAAAAAATAAAGTGGAAAACAATTTAACTTGTTTGATTAGAGAAGAAAAGTAGAAGGAAAAGAAAATGAAAAGGCAAAATGTACCAAGTGGAGGAAAATCCAAATTCCTCCCATTTTGATGAGAAAAAATGAGAGAATCATTTTCTTTTGCTTCTAAACTCCTTGAACCAAACATAGTGTAAGAGTTCGCATCTAACACCAAGTAAAACTGAGCCTGCAGAGTTATGGGTATATCAAGTTTGGACCAGAATGGGCATTTAGCCTTTTTTTGCACAGAACAAAAAAGTTGTAATTAAAATGAGAAAGGGTGCAAAAAGTACTCCCTCTGCCCTATTTGGTTTGGTTTAAAGAACCCACAAAAGAAAGCAAGAGAAGATTTGCATAAAAATATGCAAAACAGACCAAGTGGTGAAAAGTGCTAACAGACTATATTTTTGCGAAGATCGCATGAAAATAACCTTCAAGCGCTGTCTGAATCGGAATTCGCCCCTGCATCCACATTTGTTGACTGTTGATTTTTGTAGCCGGTGATCTGTTCATTGTAGCGTTTCTTATCAGCCTTTGACATTGCCTCATACGGTTCTTTCTCCTCAGCTGAAAAAACACCACCACCACCATATCATTAGAGAAAGTGTGTTGAAAATTGTTAAAGTCATCCAAACTCTTACCCCAATCCATCGACATTGAACCTAGTTCAAGGGTGTTCGTACCCATCACGACGCCCAAATAAATAAATTAGAAAAAAGTTGTCAAAATTATTAGATATGTTTAATAATCACCAGAAAGCTTGTTCCATCTTTCCCCAAGAACCTTCCCAACCTCTGTAAATGGGATTCCAGGATGAGATTTCTTCACATTCTGCAGGATGAAGGAGAAAAAAAAGAAATTACAGAATGAAAGGAAAGCAGGCATTCACTAGTAAAAGTGAAAATACTACATGGAGTAGTTAAAAACCTCTCTTTCACTCTGTGAAAAGAACATGAAACCAGTCATTGCCCTTTTCGGGGCATTCGGATCCTTCTTCTTCTTTGGTTTCCTCTTCTTTGAAGTACCCTCATCATCGGCTTTTTTCTTGCTTGTAGTTGGCTTAGGAGCTGAGGAATCTTTTCTGGGCTTCTTTGGAGGTTTCTGCATTCCAACATTCATTCACAACATACTTAGTATATAATTAGCCTCTGCCTAAAAGAGTCAAAATCAGAGTGCTGGGAAAATATACAATTTTTAAAAAATGGTATACCTCTTTCTCATCCCCGCTTAAACTGCCATCGGATCCTCCATCTTCCCCAGAATCATCAGTAGGAGATCCTTCATCATCCTTCTCCATGACAAAATCTTCATCCTGAAAAACAAAAAAGATTCTTAACATTAATATAAGACTCCAGATGCCACCTCATCTCCTTTACATATAAAGAAAGGAAAATTTACCTCTTCATCACTCTCATCTTCACCAGCTTGATTCCTGATTCGCTCAAGATGTGGGTCAACGGCATCATCATCCTCGCCCTGCAAAACAGCTGTAACACCATCTGCAGGTCGGGAATCCCCACTGCTCAGTATTTTCATGCCCTTCCCACTGCAATTTCATAGCATATGTAGTAAGGACACAATCCAAGTATCCAACACAATATTTAACAAAAATCACTCCAGTGCCAACAAAAAAGAGTACTGATTTGTCAGGGTACAAACTTTTGATTTTTGCAGGCTACCACTCAAAGTCATTAAACTATATACTCTGTCTTATTTGCAAAGGTTGCTCCACTTCCCCATTATGAATTTTTTTTACTTGCACCACTTCTCCTTTTTGGTAAATGTGAGCTTATGGGATGACATAATGCCCTGACATTTTCATCTTCTCGTCAACTTTCCTTACTTTTCATCTTCTCTCTTCTTTTTCACTTATACTGTTCAATACCCCTATAATTTCCTTTTGAAAGCCATGAAAAACCTATAACAAGAGCAAGCTCTCGAATAGGGAGGGCAGAAAAGGCTTGAGCAGGATTATTTTTTATAAAAAAGGAGTAGAAGAAAAATTATTACATCCACAACCAGTAAGACTGCTGACCTGATGAAAGTATAAAGACAATGGTATTCGCTTCTCTGGATATTCCGGAAGAGATGTTCTTGTTCAGTCTTAAGTCTCACAAGAAGATCAAAGTAATGCATATTTGCTGTACCAGCAGCATGCCTCTCAAATTCCACATACTCAATCTATGTGAATGGCCAATGATTAGTGTTGTTTCCTTTGCATATAGTGCTGAAAGATACAATCGCAGTGCGACATCTTGAATTTTACCTCATCATACAGCATAAGGGTTGGTGGTTTGGGCAGAAAGAAGAATCCCTTTTCAAGAGGATATAAGAGTCCATCTTCAGCTTTCAATGATGATTTCACAGCTAAACCTTGTGTATGGCTACGGAACTTACCAGGTCCAGTGATTTTAGCACCAGACAGGCCACGCAATATTTTAGTAAACACATCGTGGACAAGCCCCTGACAACAACCCAAGGAAAAATGTATTAGTTTGATGAAGGTTTTGCATAGTAACCTATATATGTTTAAATAGATATATAAATAAAAAATGACTACAAGGGAAACCAATATATGATACACTGAAAGAACCTTATATGTCATCTCTAATTTGTCCTTGTATTTTGCATTTAAAACTTCTTCACTCATTGTTAGAGCAGTGTCTACCACATACTCAGATTCAAACTGCACAAGCATTGTTAAAATAAACCACATCAAATACTAGATTAAGAGAGAATATCACATCGCCTATTAGAATTGTGCAATATATATATAAATATACCTGCAAAACGATGTGTGGGTACAATGTTTGACCTTTCCGAATTGGTGGATCAAGGGTAACAACAACAAAGGTGTGTGGTTGACTAACCTGCACAAGAAAATTGCTCCATGCTGAAGAACAGAAGTATGTAGCTCTTGAGGAAACATGTAGGAGCTCAAGAAATATTCTACCCAATCAATAATTATATTTTATCTCTTCAACTACTACCAATAGACAATGAATCAACATCAACTCGACTTATATGAATGCATGGGATATAATGAATTGCAAGCCTGTGGCACACCCATTGTGACTACTGCTTAGTACCACTTTTTTTTCATAGAAGCGGCATACAACAATTAACAGGAAAAAGGATATGGGTAAAACTATGTCCAAGACAATGAGAACCTTCGGCAGTAAGAAAATACGGACAACACTGCTGTACTGAATCTTAAAGTCATTAGCTTGCCCTTGTAGACGGAGGAAAGAAAGATGAAGTTCAACATTATATCGACCCCTACAATATGAAAGCACATATCAACTGAGTATAAGAAAGCAGATACAAATAACCAGAAAAGAACAATTAAAAATAGGTGAAGAAGTGATCCATATACCTAGGAGTCAGTATAGCAATGCCATCAAATGTAACAACAGCTTCCTCCCCATCACTAACATCGGCCATTGCCACAATTTTGTCACGGAACACCTATTTGAAAAGGTAAATATTCAATTTCCGTCGACGTATAAATAACCCCTTCTCTATAATAGAAGGAAAACAGGAATTTTGTTATTTTGCTTTTTTGGGCATGGGGTGGGGGAGAGTAGCTGTTTCACCTGAGCTGGAGGATAGCTTTCATCACCAACAAATTGGGTGTTTGAATTGGGTATGTGAAAACTTATCTCCATCAATGAATCTTTCTGCAATCAGATCAAAGATGTAGTTACAAGAGTCTGACAAAAATGTGGAGAAGAATTAAAGCAGTCTCCAAGCCACATGAGGTGATTGTGATAAGTAGCAAAAAACCCTGAAAGATGGATAAATGTCAAACATTAGCAAACAGCAACAACAACATACCTCATTCGCTCCTGTTGTATCATCAACATGAAACTCTAACATGACATCATTTTTTCCCTGTAGCTGTGTTTGTGAGACATCTGCCAGAGATACCTCAAATGCTTGCTTAGAGCCAACAAGAAATGCAAGTGTATTGCCTGAAAAGAACAAGAACAGGTGCAGATTTATCACTGGGAAACCCTGGTGGTAAGGCACCATATTGAAGAAGTCCACACTTTGCCTACTTAATACTTATGTATTCATTTGTTAAGATATGAAAGATTAAAAAGCAACAATTTGTTATCATAGTTAAGTCTTTTTTTTAAGATAAACCCTAAAAAAAGCTAATCATGTTCATCTTTACCATTTACAGCCATAAGATTTGTGCAATAATAATTATATGAATTACTTTTGAGTTTTATCTAGTTTTGAAATTAAAATAATTGAATTACGGGAGTTCAAATGAATTTGTATAAATCATGAAAATGTTCAGAAGAATAACATGTTTTATGATAATGATGGATTAGATTTGTGTTCAGAGTTAAGAATAATAAAGGAAATTTAAACATGCGAAACAGATACTCCATTACTTTACTCCCTTTGTCCCTATATAATCTTCTCATTTTCTTTTAACACTGAGTTAGAGAGGTGAAATTCTATGGTTGAAATTTGTGCAGAGAAAGAGAATTGATCATGTTCTGGCCAAGATAGTCGGCTCTCGGTCTGGTTCTCTATGTTGGCCACTCTCACCCCCCCCCCTCCCCAAACATTTATTGTTGATCTGATTGTTCAATGATATCCTCTTCTTTGATTTTAAAGGGGAAAAAGTTGCAAGGCCCCTCAAAAATATTTGCCTAATGCTGGCTGAAATCACATCAAGTAGAGCCAACAAGAACAAGCAAATTCCTCACTAAACCCAAAATCAAGGATTCTTATGCACAGATTCAATGGTATTATGACATATGACAAATAAAAACACCAAACAAGTACAATTCAATAAAATCACAAGAGTCACTAGTGCCGGAACGAAAGAAAAGCACAAACCATTTATATCAACTTCACCCCAATTTTTCCCACTAACAGAGAGATGCTTCTCTTCTGGAGTTATTCCACAACTACTCTGGAAAAAAGTGGTCAGGTTGGAAACATCCTGCATAGTGAATAGATGCAAAAAAAAGAGCCCATCACTTCATAACTTCTGCAGCCAATTTGTCATCTCTAGTTAACATCAAGATAAGGTGCCTCTACAATGTGCAATTAGTTTTTTTAACATGAACTCAAGTGCTCTAATTGCTACAAACAAAGCAATAGTAGAAACATTCAAGGTCGTGTAGGCTGAAGCAGAAAGAAATGAAACCATTCAAACAATCAAGATGCAGATTAAACATTTTACCTGGTCACGGAAACCTGTAAATTTGTAGTAGAGCCCGTCCTTAATTCGAACTCCAAGCTGATTCGATCGAGGAACCTTCATCCAAGTAAGGCTCATGACATCATCTTTGTCCACCTCTACAGCCTTACCTCCACCCTGCTTCTTCCACAGAATACCTCCTGCGTGAACCTTGAGTTGCCCTGGATTCTACATATCCAAAGTATACATATTTGTTAAAGAATAACTTTAACTGTCAGACTTATTTACACTTCATTAAAATAATTTCAGAAACCAAATCCTAATCCCAAAAATAATTTCACAACATGACTAAAATAACAAATTTAACACAAAATCAAAAAAAGAAACCCTAGAAAACATTGAGAGTAAAAGGTAAAAAGTTCAAATTACACAAAATTCCGATGAAGTTCTGGGTAGCGATACTAGCAGCGATACATACATACACAGGACACGAATCACAATAGAACCAGAAACTGAGCAAAAATCGAGGGAGAAAATGAAATACCACGTTGCCTCCACGGCCTCCAAGGTGGATATTGTTGAACAAGTGGCCGTCCATTATAGCAGCTTCCAAGTTCGTCAACAGCAGATACCGAAGAGTAATCGAATGGAAAGATGAAAATGAAAGGGGAAGAACACTCCCAAAATTAGGTATTTATAGGCTGAGCGAAGCTAATCGCATGGCGCGAAAAGCTGTATCAAGATTCAAGAGAGTCTAGGCGTCCTGGGTTACTCCCAATCCCCTCCCAGAGATGAGAGGTTACTAATAAGCATAGGCCCGGTTCCTTGCAGTCTATTGCAGTCTAATAAAGAGACTCATTGTCAAATAAATTCCCAAATCATTCGATATTTTTATGAAATGAAACGATACAATGAAATCGTACCAAAAATTAAATATGCATTACTCAAATAATATGAAAAAAATAGGAAAATTTTGTTCACCCTATAAAAGAAAGCACAACTTTGTTAAATAAGTACAAAGTACTCCCTCCGTCCCAATTTATAGTGCCTGTTTCGATTTACGATGTTTAAATGAAATTATTTTCAAATCATTTTATATGACAAATGGTATAAAGTTAAAAAAATATAAATTACATATTAAAATACTACATCAAAAGATCTACAAAACTAATTGTGACAATAATACTTCATTTTCTCAAATTACTAATGAAAATAGAGAAAGAAAGTGAATGAAGTTTGACCCTGTGAATAGTGAACATGCATTATAATTTGGGACGGGGGGAGTAATAATGTTGGATTTAAAAAGATTATACACATAAATAATACTCCCTCCATCCCAAATTATAATGTCTGTTTACTATTCACAGGGTCAAACTTCATTCACTTTCTTTCTCTATTTTCGTTAGCAATTTGATAAAATAAAATATTCTTGTCACTACTAGTTTTGTAGATCTTTTGATATAGTTTTTAATATGTAATTTTTATTTTTTAATTCTATGCCATTTGTCATATAAAATGGTTTGAAAATAATTTCAGTCAAACATCGTAAACCGAAACAGGCGTTATAAAATGGGACGGAGGTAGTAAAAGATAACGAGTTCAAATTTAAAAAAATAAGAATGTGTATAGAGACAAAAATATTGAACTCAAGTGGGACTCGGGAGGATAACACTTGCTTTATTTGTAGCAGACCTAGATATAGTACCATACTCAGAACTATTAAGAGAAAAGATTAAAGCAGAAGTAAAACATTAAAAATATACCAAAATAAGAGTTTCATGTTTTATTTCTGAAATAGAAGTTAAATTGCATTTATATTACCAATCATGACCATGTACATTACCAAAAATATAATAAAATGTAAATGTACAGTAACACATTACCTCAGTGCGAAGGTCATATTTATGGAATAAAAATATGGAACTCCTATTTCTGTAGTTTCTCTATGTTTTACTCATATTTAGGGTGATTTCTTAACTATTAATTATAAAATTTTTATATAGTTATATATATATATATATATATATATATATATATATATATATATATATATATATATATAGTTCATTTCTACACTTTAAAATAAATTAATTAAACATAAATTCAAAATGAAAAGAGTATCTTTTCCATTTGTTTATTTTTTTTACTTATTTCATAAACTAATCTAATAATGTACCGGTAACATTTTATTTTGCAATACTTCTAATATAATTTTGAGATATTTAAGTTTAATTATGCAATTATGCAATAGTTATTAACTAAACTAAATGAAAATAATTTTAATATTGTTATTTTTTCAAAATGTTATTGAGAAATTGAAGAAATATTGTGGGGATGTTTGATTAATGTTTTACAAAAAAGAGTTATGTTTAATATTCTTTGACAAAAAAATAGATTAGTTAAGTTGCAACTTGTGTGTAGTTTGAGAACTTTTTTACTCCGTATTATTTATATTCTAACTTGTTTTTTAAGAATTGTATTATTCAAAAATGAAGTTTTTAATTAGAAAATATAAAATAAAGTTTGTGGTATAGGGAGGGAATACATGTTTTTATTCAAATTGGAAAAAAAACACTCCCTCCATTAACAACATTAACAACAATAGGATATGTGGAGGGTGTCTTGGTAGACCTGATAGTATTGAAAAAAAATATTGATGTTGTTATTGTTGTTGATGAATGATGATGATGAAAAACCAATAGAAATGAGATCGTGAAAAATTGGATGTATTTGTAAAAGAGCTAATCCTCTACTTCATTTCAAACTCATTTCAAACAGGCCAAGACAAACTCAGTAGTAAACATTACACTAGTAGTTGGGTTGAAAAAAAGACCATACAAAAACAAATTTAACCAAATATTTATATATAAAAAAAGCTACCACAACAAAGCACACATCAAACTTGTAGCAACATACAAATGAGTCAACCATCTGCAAGTTACAAATCAGAAAATTAAAATAGAAGAAATTGCACACAACTGTAAAATGATACTCTTTGGGAGTCCATGGCTATACATCCCCCC